GCTTTTTTCTGCCTCTTTATCTGTGAGCCTCATGCCTAGTGGGCTTAGTGGTAGGAGGGACAAAGATGGCAGGTGATTTAGTCTTTGAAGACGCGAACCTCTCACTCCTTTCTATGTGTGGGGGGGTCCCTAAGAGAGGGTGTAGGTCACCTTGCTGTCACCTGCTCTCACAAGGACCCAGGTGTGCAGCCCCTCCTGGGCCCACCTGCTGCTGGTCACAGTGGTGGCCCTGCCTTCTGCCCTTGGTCTACGAGCCCATGAGGGCCCCTTGCCCTTCCCCAGAATACTGCATACCCGGCACAGGCCCTTCTGAAAGCCATCTGGGTCTCTCAGGGAAGCCTGGCTTTTCTTCCTAGGGGCTGCCTGTAGCCCTCCAGGCCCCAGGGCTGTCATTGCTATGTGTCTGTCACAGAGTTGGGACAGGTCTGATCCCTTCTTGTCCTCAGGGCCCACCTCGTGTTTTGCTCAAAGTGGGCGTCCCTGGCTATTGAGTGATGGTCACTTTTGGCACTGATGGGCAGGGGGAGAGAGTCAGAGCTGGAGCTAAAGGGTTCCCTGTGGGAGGGGTGTCCCTGCCCTCTAGAGCCACTGGGAACATGGGGACTTGGGTGCTCAGGCCACCTGTGGGCACTGATATCCAGGAGATGCAACAGGGTGAGCTGTATCTCCTGGATATCAGGAGGATATCTGGGGATGCTGGCTGAGCCCAGCTGCGCTGGAGCTGCCCCTGTCCCTTTCTGACTCACCCAGGTCCAGTAGCTGGGACATGGTCTGAGGTGGGCAATGGCTCCTGAATCTTACCTTCCCCCAGCTGGACTCTGTGAACTCTGGGACCTCCAGAGAATTGTTTCTCAGATCCCTTTTTAGGGGCTGAGGGAGCCGGTCTGAAAGCAAACACAGTGTTCTGTGCTGGCCTGGGCGCTGCCCTGCAGAGGGCAGCTGTCTGGGGCCTCAGCGCGGGACGGCTGAGTGTACCCTGGTGACTGGCTTAGGAAGCCAGCTGCAGTGGGCACAGGGAGGCTGCGCTCCGGCCAACCCGCTACGCTGCATGCCACATGCCGGCGCACAGCCCAGTGTTGTTTGGGCATCACTAGGGGCCCTGGTGGGGCCTGAAGCTGGGGGATGGGGGCACAGCGACCCACCCCATGGGGACCCCTGCTTCGGGGAAAGGGTGAGGAGGACGTGGGAGGTGTGGCTGTGATGGTAGAGGCTTGGCAGGGAGAGAAGCTGGATCTGGAAGATTCTGTGACATCAGGGGACACAATAGCATCCCATTATGAACATACTTTAATCCTCGTCTCAACCAACAAAGCCTTTGATTGTGAAGACTGAGGGTGGCTGTGTCAGGAGTGGGACAGACCCTTCCTCATTCCTCAGCCCCGAGGGGTCTCCATCCCACCTCCAACGGAATTCCAGAGAGGCTGAGTGTCCGTGGTGGAGCGGCCGTCTGTTTCTTCACTCAGTCTTGCATCGGAGGGCCTTGAACTTGGATGTTCGTAAGAATGATGACTGGCCAGTGTTGGACACCCTACTCTATGGAGGATGAAAGGAATTTTAGAGAGAGTTTTTTTCTTCACACCTCCTTTTTTTAAAATCATGTAACATCTTATGTGCTGCTCGTAAGCCCTTCCTGTGGCTGTCTCTGCTGCCGCACGGAAGCATTCATTGTAACAGGCAGATCTGGGGGTTCTCAGGGCCGCATCACTACCATTACCCACAAAACACGCTGCGGCTGTGTGCCCAGGCTTGGAGGGGCTCATGGGCTCCCCCAGTCTCTGTGTGCCTGGGCCGGTTGCAGACCCTCTGCTTCTGTGCTGTCGGGTGGGGCAGGGGTGTCAAGATGACTGCATGGAAGGTGCTGACCGCCAGGGCACCAGGGCAGGAAGAGCGGCCCTGGCTGCGGACAGGGAGAGGCCTGGAGTGGGGAGATAGAAGTGGGTTTGAGGGTGTCGTGATGGGGGTGAGCCTGTGGAGGTGACCGGGTCCCTGCTGGCCTTTGCCTGGAGATTGACCTGAATGGATGGGGCCACCTTCCAGCTCTTGTGCAAGCATGAAGCTGGCCAGGCTGGAGCTCTGCAGGCGTGCTGGGTCTCCTAGGACTGGGCCAGCTGTTTCTCCTCCAGGGCAGGAGGCGTCCAGAACATGGATGTCTCTGAGGCTTGAGCTGGTGGCAGGCAGGAGAGGCCAGGAGGGTGCCCTTCTTTTTTAAGGTCAGCCTCAGCCACCGCCGCTCTCCCAAGTCCCCTCTCTGCCTTGCCTTCCTGTCCTTAGCATGAGGCACATCTCCTGAGCCTGCCTTCAAGGCTCCAGGGCCTGGCCCTGCTCACTGGGTCTGAGAAGTGCCAGGCACGGATCATTTACCTTCCACTGCAAGATGAGGAGACTGAGGTTCAGAGAGGCTCACTAGCTCATTTAGGGCTGAGTGGCAAGGGACAGCTGGGTCTGCATGGCCTCAAAGCCTGTGTGCGGCCCACTCTTTGCGCATGCTTTTGGAAACTTCTGCATCTCACTGAGTGTGGTCTCAGACCTCAGAGCTGGCCTTGCTCATTGTTCACCCCTCCTGGAACCTGGAGTTCTTCACTCAGCTTTCCTGGCTCTGGTTTTGATGTCCAAGAGGGACTCGAGGCCTGTCCCATGCTTCTAGCCTCTCTGCTGGTCCTGCTGTCCCAGGAGGCCCCTGGAGACCACTCTCCCAGCTCAGGGAGCTTCACCACCCAGCCCGCTGCCCGCTCAGCCTTTTCCCTCTACAACCTATGTCCTTAGTGTCAGCTGGGCCAGTGTCCTTGGAGTCCTGGCCATGACCCCCGCATTCTGCACCTCTGCTCTAATGCCACCTCTTCTGGAGGTCTTCTGTCCCTGTAAAGGCTCAGACTGGGCCCCCTTTCCCTAGTATGAGGCAGTGGGAGCTCTCTGTCCTTGGGCACCTCCTGAGCTTGTGGCACAGGGGGCCTGGTGGTCACCCCACCTGCCTTGGCCGTACTCCTGTGCTTGGTCACTTGTCTGCAGGTGTCTGAGTGCAGGTCTGTGATTGATGGTCCTGCTGCTCACAGGTGCTGTGTATCATTCAGCCTTACCCACAACCTGTCATCCTGGAGGTGGTCCTTGTCTTCCTGCCTTCTTTCCCAGGCTGAGTGGCATCTGGAAGAGGGCAGGTGCCAGCACAAACAGCAAATGTCCCTATGGACTCAGGGCTCCTGAGGCAGGGGTGACGACCGCAGCTGCTGTCCTGTTGGGAAGTCAGCTGTTCAGTGGCTGCTGTCAGGAGAGTAGCCTGGTTGGTTCATTCATGTGAGGGTGGCAGGAAGGAGGGGTCAGGGACTGGGTGGGCCACCAGTCTTCTCTTTGCAGACTGAAGGCACCCGGCTGCAGAAGGATCTCCAGACCTACCTGACCTCCGTCAAAGGTAGGAGGCAGGCAGGGCACACCCATGGTGAGCTGGTGAGTGCCGAGTTGGGAGTGTGGGGGAGGGCTGTCAGTGGGAGGTCTGCACCGTTCCTTCCTGCCCCACAGCCATGCACGAGGCCTCCAAGAAGCTGAACGAGTGTCTGCAAGAGGTGTATGAGCCCGACTGGCCCGGCAGGGATGAGGCCAACAAGATCGCAGAGGTGAGCGTGGGACCGGTGGCCCTGGCCCTTCCCGGAGGGTGCTCTGGCCTCAGCTCCCGTCCCACTGGGCAGGGCTCTCTGGGACAAGGTGCTATGGTTCTTGGGCGTTCGTGTGCTGTGTGCCCTGGGGCAAGGTGCCCTCCTTCTCTGAGGGCTCTTCTCCTGACACGCCCTCACACCAAGGTGGGTCAGATGGTGGGTCGTGGTCGTCCTTATTTGTGTGTTATGGCTCATGACACAAAGCCTCCCTGGCTGACCCCAGTCCTCAGCGTATCTGATCCTCACAGTCACCAGTAGGGCAGGAAATGTTGCCCCGATATTACAGATGGGGAAACTGAGGCTCTAAGAAGCCACCGAGCTGTGAACAGTTGGGGATGGGCCTGGTCCTGGGAGGTGAGCGCTGGGGAGAGGGTGGCCCAGCACCCTGGTGGCATTGTCGTGTTCTTGCTTGTCTCAGAACAATGACCTGCTGTGGATGGATTACCACCAGAAGCTGGTGGACCAGGCGCTGCTGACCATGGACACGTACCTGGGCCAGTTTCCCGACATCAAGGTGAGAGGCCCACTTGCAGATCTGCCCATTTGCAGGTCCCTCGCTTCCTGGAGGGACCTGGAGAGAGGACAGGGCCCAGGGCATGCGGCTCAGGCCAGGAGGAGGCCACCCTGGAAGCAGGAGGCCCCTGGCCTAGTGTTGTATCCTCCAGGGCTGCTCCCCATTCCCCAGACCTGGGTCTTCCTGTCCCTTTGGGTCTCAGGGCTGTGGGAGGAGGTCCCATGGCGCGCACGCATGTGTGTGTGTGTGTGTGTGTTGCTGCGTAGTGACTGGCTGTGTGATTGTGAAATGTGTAGAAGGCGGAGCAGGGCTGAGGGATGTGTGTGCCTGCAGGTCCACTGTGTTTATACCACATGTGCTTGGAAGGGTATGTGTGCACGTCACCCGTTGTCTGGGTCTGCATGTGTGGGTGTCTTTGTGGTTGTGTGCATTCACAGCCTGCTGTCTCTGCCGGGCCTGGGTGGGTGCTAGGAGCCCTGGCGGTGTCTCTGGTCTCCACCAAGGCGAATGATCTCCCGGTGACGTGCACTTGGAACCGAGGCTGATCTCCCAGCGGTCCAGCCCCACTGTGTGAAACCTTTTCTTTCACATGAGCCCATGTGTCCGCGTCCACCAGCTGGTTATGTGTCAGCCAAGTCTCTTCCTCAGCCTGATCCCTGGCTTCTCATCTCCAGAGCCACCAACATCAGACTCGGGAGCTTGAGGCAACTGCACTGGGGGCCCCTGAGGCCAGCATGAGCATAACACCCCCATCCCACTCACCAAGGGGATCTCATCAACCCACTGATCAGCCTCGGCCTCGATTTTGAGGCCATTCGCAGCAAGCTCCGACAGCCCGAGCACCAAGCTGCAGCCGCGGCCACCTGCACCAGCACCGCTGAGATTGTCTTGGGGGCTTTGTTCAGAGGAGGCTGTCAGCATCCTCAAGTTGCAGGCGCTCTAGCCCCAGCACTGCTTCAAGAGGCTTTTTCTCAGGACGGGCCTCCTCTTCTCAATGGCCTGAAACCTCCATCAATTCCCATGAAGTATACAGGGAACACAAGGCTGTCACTATCATCAGTGGCGGCATCGGTGGCGCCAGGACTTGCACGCGTGGGTTGCACACGTCAGTCACTGAGCCACGTGCAGTGACGCCACCTGAGGCACGCACGCCGCACGCTCTCGCCGCACGCTGTGGCTTGCCTGTAGAGGCTTGGCCTCGCGCACGCCGCACGCGCATAACGGCTTGGCTTGGCTTTGCTGTTACTGGCTTAGGGTGGTGTTCCTCGCTTGGCTTCGTGTTCCTAGCTTTGATTGACGTTTCTTCCCTCGCATTCCTTTGCTGGGCTTGACCTTTTCTCTGCTGAGCTTGGCATTCCCCTGGCTGGGCTGGGTGTTTCCTTGGGTTGGAGTGGGCTCTCCCTGGGTGGGCGTGGGCTGGGCTGGGCTGGGCTCCCCTCCTGGGGTTGGCAGGTTTGGGCTAGGATTGACCTTTCTCTTTAAACAGATTGGAAACCCGGAGTTTCCCGCTAGTTGGTCCAGCTGGTTCGTAGAGGCGATCTGCCTGCTACTACTGGCCTCCCCTGGCTGTTAAAAGCAGATGGTGGCTGAGGTTTGTTCAAAGCCGGCTGCCTCCGCTATGAAGAAGCCCTTTGGTCTCAGGAGCAAGGTGGGCAAATGATGCTGCCACTGCTTCCCCTGCTGCAGGGGGAGCTGCAAGAGCAACGTGGGCACTTGGGCAGACTATGATGACAGTGCCTTCCAGGAGCCAAGGTACCAGGTCTGTCGAGAAGACCTGGGCAAGCTCCACAGAGCAGCCTGGTGGGGTAAAGTCCCTAAAGCCAATCTCATTGTCATGCTCCAGAGCACTAATGTGAACAAGAAGGACAAGAAAAAAAGGTAACCGGGCCTTGCTGAGAGGAGGTGGGATGGTGGGATGTGCCCTACTGGTGTGGGGGCGGTGGTGGGGTGCCTGGCTTTATCGTCTCTGCAGGCCCCACACCACCCTGGGTGTGAAAACCTCAGAAGGGTCAGGGCCGAGGCCTCTTTATGAGCAGCAACACGAAAACAAAACTTTAACTGATCTCCAATCAAATTGTAATTTCCCTCATAGAACACTAATAGGCTGTCTTAAAATGATTTAACTGGCAAAATTAAATCATTGCAGCAGATTATTTTTAATGTATACATTTTAAAACAACGTTATACACATTATAGAAAGGTATATATTGAGAACTAAGTCCCATAGCATATCAACTTCTGCCTAAACATTCTTCAAGTAAAATTCAATATGCACTTTATATCAATGTATCCTATGTAAATATGTTATTTACTGAGAAACCTTAGAGGGAAAATAAATGAGAAGATGGTTTGTGTCTTTAAATAGGAAGACTCATTTCTCTTAAGATATGAGCTCTTTCTGTGTTTGTCACTTTTACCTAAGCCAAATGAAAATAGCAAAGTTTTAGCGTTTTTAAATTAGGCATGTTGTCTGTTATTGTGATAAATTAATTTTTTTGTAGCAGAATAGAAAAAGATTTGCTTTTCCAGATGGCAAAATTTGCATGTGCTATTTCCACAAATTGTTTACTAACAGCTGAAAAGACATAAATGAGCAGAACAGAATAGGAAATCCAGAAATACCCAAATGTATGTAAGAATTTAGCCCTTGATAATGGTGATGTTTTATATTAGTAAAAAAATTAGTTATTCATAAGTGAAATGCATGCTGTTTGGAGAAATCTAGCTAGATTTTTATGTCACAAAAATAAATTCCTGGAGTATAGGTTAAAAAACGTTAAATACACAAAAGGTGAAAAGTACCAGAAAAAAACCACAAATGTCTATTTATATATGCATATATAAATATTTAGGTGAAGTCTTACTTTGTCACCCAGGCTGGAGTACAGTGGTGTGATCTCGGCTCACTGCAACCTCTGTCTCCCGGGTTTAAGCAATTCACTGCCTCAACCGCTCGAGTAGCTGGGATTACAGGTGCCCGTCACCATGCCCGGCTATTTGTTTTTGTATTTTTGGGTTTTATCATCTTGGCCAGGCTGGTCTTGAACTCTTGAACTTGTGATCCACCTGCCTTGGCCTCCCAAAGTGCTGAGATTACAGGCGTGAGCCACTGTGCCTGCCCTGTACATGCAGATGTATTTTTATGTTCGCAATGACCTTCCTAGGAACCTCCCAAGCAAGTATTCTGAAGGTTGGTTTGGCAAAGTAAAAAAACACCCATATATAAGAAAAAAATGGACAAAGATCCAACATCCTTACAAAACATTTATTTTCATTTTACAGAGAATTCTTTCAAATCAACCAAAAGACAACTAAATAAACTCAATTTAAAATTGGGTAAAGTACTTTTTTTGTATATCTAATGGTGATCAACGCACATAGGAAAACATAGCGTTCCTGGTAAGAAAAGAAATTTAAGTTAGAAGAGGAATGAAATACTGTTTTCTATTTCGCTTAGAAGAGGAATGACAGGCCAGGTGCGGTGGTTCATGCCTGTAATCTCAGCACTTTGGGAGGTCAAGGCAGGTGGATCATGAGGTCAGGAGTTTGAAACCAGCCAGGCCAGCATGGTGAAACCCTGTCTCTATTAAAAGTGCAAAAATTTACCGGACCTGGGCCTGGGGGTGAGTACTTGTAATCTCAGATACTTGGGAGACTGAGGCAGGAGAATTGCTTGAACCTGGGAGGCATAAGTTGCAGTGAGCCAAGATGGTGCCACTGCACTCTGGTCTGGGGGACACAGAGAGACTCCCTCTCAAAAAAAAAAAGGGGGGTAATGGAATACGGTTTTCTATCCACAAAGTTTGTGAGGATGAAGAACAGTGGTACTTACACAGTTGCTTAAAGTTTAAGTTGCTGTGACTTTTCAAATAGATACCTTGGTGGTAAGAACTGTATTTTTAAAATGTATATGCCTTTTACCCATCAGTTTCATTATTCTGAAATAGCTTTAAGAAATGAATACATCTGTTTTTCTTACTATTGCTTATAATAGCAATGTACTGAGAAGAACTCATATGAAGATTTTATGAACGAATTTCAGTGCATCCATGGGATGGAATAATATGTAACCATTGAGGGTGTTGATAGATACAGAGATACATTGACATGCAAAGATGTAATTTGGTATATAAAGTGAGGGAAAACTCAGTTTGTTTTACATATACACAAACAATCTGCTTTTGTATTAGCTGAAAAGATGTAGAAAATATGATCAAATTTATTTCTGGGGATTTGTGAGTGAAGTTTTTTCCTTTCTCTTATCAGTGATTTCTGCAATGAACATCTCAAAAGCTTTAGCTAAGTTTCAGTAGTCATGAAATAATCCTTGGGAAGAGAAGAAATATGCTACTTGCATAGATACAAATAGTTTCTCACATTCTATTATTTATTTTTATTTCTGTGGATGGGTATCTTCTGTAAACTTTTACCCTCTTCAGAAGTAGAGGGGAATCTGTTTACTTGCTCCTGTAGATTTTATTGTATAGATATTTTATTATAGATTTATCTTTTCCTTATATATAGATTAATGTGTGTAAAAACTATGGATTAATGGTTTTACTTTAGTTACATATGAAAATTAAAATAGCAAATATAACTGATTATTACTATTACAAATGTATTCCTCTACAGGATTTTTTTTTTTAAATATCAAACTCACCAGTTGTGTCCTTTCAATCTATTTATTCATCAAACATAAGCCAGACACCTATTATGTGGTAGGCATATTCTACTATCTCACACCTACTACATGGCAGGCATATTCTACTATCTCTCAGCACCCTTCATCTTTGAAAACTTCATGTTTACATGCTGGGGCTGAGCAAGCTGAAAGATTTAAAATTGGGGTATTAGAACTTAATCTCAATTGAAGCTTTTCCTCTTTTCTTTCAAACAAAAGCATTTCTGAAGGTAGAAATAGTAAAAAGATAACCTTTAATTGCCCTTTAAAATTTACAACAGTCTTGGATAAAGACTGTTTTAGTACTTTTAAGAACTAAAATGTGATACATAAACAGCAGCCACAAAAAAAAATGAGAGCATGTCCTTTACAGGGACATGGATGATGTTGGAGGCCATTATCCTTAGCAAACTAACACAGGGACAGAAAACATCAGATACCATATGTTCTCACTTATAGGTGAGAGCTAAATGATGAGAACACACAGACACCTACAGGGGAGCAGCACACACTGGGCCTATCGGAGGGTGGGGGTTGGGAGGAGGGAAAGCAGCAGGAAGTAGAACTAACAGGTAGTAGGCTTAATATCTGGGTTATGAAACAATCTGTACAACCCCCCTTGGCACACATTTACCTATGTAACAAAACCACGCATCCTGCACAGGTATCCCTGGATGTAAAAGTTGAAAAAACTGCACAAATAATTTTCTAAATCCTTTCTTAAAAAAGAAAATTGATAATAGTCTTAAATCCTAATATTAATGATTGGAAATATCTGATTTACATACATTCTGTAAATCTGAGTATTGAAAAAAATGAGCCATACCTAGTCATTTAAATCTCAAGTTTTCTTTGGCTTAAAGTTTTTTAAAAACCAAAGTAAGAATTAGTTTATTTTAGAAATTTGTTTTTGTTTTCACCTCAACCTTCTTTTTTCATAGTTCTTTTAAGAACTAAAATTTATCTAAATGCCAGTCATTGGACTAAAACTGCACCAGACCTGTTATATTATAACATAGCCTACCTACTGTAAGGCACCAGGGATTGTAAGATGCCCCGTTATTTTATGTCCCAATAAGAGAATTATTTAAATGCCGCCAATTACAGTTATAGTAAATTATGAATTATAAGTGGTATTCCAGTAAAAGAAATGTTCAAACATGGAATCATCTTAGAATCACTAAAATAGAATATTACCTGTAATCTTTAAAACATACCTCAAAGTGTAGGTTTAATTGTATTATCTCACTTAATTCAAATGTTGTCTCTAGCAGTAGTAGTAAAAATTATAATATCTAACAATTATTGAGCTGTTATTTGTGTTAGAAACTATTCTCTATCTTTTGTGCACAGTCTCATTTAAGTATTACAGTGGTTTTCTCTGAGAACGCGACTATTTTCATTCCCACTTTATTGATGAGGAAATTGAGATACAAAAAGGCTAACCAACATCTAAGAGTGGAAAGAGGATTCCAGCCCAAGTTGAATGGAATCCAAGGGCTCTGCTCTTTCTATTCAAATAGGCGCTCTTTCATTCATGCAGTGAGTAAGGAGGGGTAATACATAGTATACTTTCTTTAAAGGAAAATTCAATGTTTGTTTTGAAGGCAGAGTAATAGCAGACTGTTCAGTGTTTGCAACGACATGAATTGTTGAGGTGGCTGTAGGTAGTGCACTACATTTCCTAAAAAGTCTTCTCACTCCTACAGAACTGCTCTCCATTTGGCCTCTGCCAATGGGAATTCAGAAATAGTAAAACTCCTGCTGGACAGAAGATGGAAACTTCATGCCTTTGACAGTGAAAAGAGGACAGCTCTAATAAAGGTACGCAGTAGCCAACCATATTGGCATGAGATGGATTTGATTTCAATATGTAGAATAAAGATGAGTTTTCTCATTTAAATATAACTAGTTGGTGAAACCTGTGGAATATTTATTTTTAATTCCTAGGATTTATGATTTGCTTTTGCTACCATTCATCAAAGGATTGTCATAATAAATATACAAATTGCCCAACTATAGACTCAGCAGATTTAATAAAAGTACAAAATGTTTCACAATAACAAAAACGCTAGTATGCTACCTGGATGTGGACACCTAATACATTGTACAATCCAGAATGTATGAGGACACCTTTAATTTAGCCATCTATTTATCAGAGAACTTTTGATAACAAGAAGACAAAGATGAAATTGATGTAGTTTTGATCTTTAAGGTGCTCATAACAGAATTGTCTCTTTCATTTCTGTGCTTTTTCAACAGAATTGACAAAGAAGACATTTTTATTTATGTTTTAACTTGTCCACTTAACAAATAACTATGAAATGTTTTTTAGATACATTTTTCCTAATGCTACAGAACACACGTAAAAATACAAACAGGAGCTCATTATTATCATTGTCATTTTTTATTATTTTGCTACTTTATTCAGTGCTTGCTGTGTCCTAGATGCCCACTAGAAGCTTATAATTATGATTATTATATTGATTATGTGCCAGACATAACTGATGAGGAATGAAAGCTTTTTAAAAAAAGGTAGGTAGGATTTAAGGTAAGCATGCAGACTGAGTAGAATGTTTCAAGGTAAAGAAGCAGAAGAATGATGATTGGCAGAAGGAAGAGGTAACGAGACTGTGTTTGCTGGAAGGGACATCTAATGCTATTGCCTCTGGAAGAGCAGCAAGTGCAGAAGACAAGATGCTTGAGTAAGCTTTGCAGGGTTTATGAGCAGTTCACTTTTGCTAGTATCAAAAGTGTGAGATACAAGACGTTGGGAATGAGGTGAATACTTAGCTAAGGTAAGTTTATAATAGACTTTTTAATACTATAGAAATGAGTAGGTCTTCAGCCTTGGTCAACATGGTGAAACCCCGTCTCTACTAAAAATACAAAAATTAGCTGGGTGTTGTAGCCAGCATGTGTAATCCCAGCTAATTGGGAGAGTGAGGCATGAGAATCACTTGAACCTGGGAGGTAGAAGTTGCAGTGAGCTGTTGTGCCACTGCACTCCAGCCTGGGCAAAAGAGTAAGACTTTGTCTCGAATGAATGAATGAATGAATGAATGAATGAAATGAGTAGGTCTTATCCTGTGGGCCATGGAAATTTTACCAATAGAATTCTTTGGACTGCAAATACTAGATGAGCAGTGGCTAAAACAGTAGGAACCGGAGTTGTTTTGGTTGTTCAGTGATATTCTAGGATCCCACTTGTCCCTCTTTCAGCTGTGTTGTTGGCAGTGTTTATTGTCTTCTTTCATAGTTGGCTAATCCACAACAGCTCCAAACATCTTGTTCTCACAACACAACATCGCACGGGCTGCTTTTCTTCACAGTGTCTTTTAAAAGGGAGAAAACTTAGAAGCATGCAAAGGACTTCCTGTAACATTTCATTGGATGGATCACACCACATGCACATTCCAAAACCAGGCACTGGGAAAGCAGATAAATGATTAGCCTAGAATACTCATTTCTCTTTCTGAAGCTGAGGAGGGGAACTGGGATAAAAAACATCCCAATATACTTGTGTTTCTTCTGTAAGAAAGAATAAGGAAAGGCTATTGGTAGGGAGCCAGCAGTGTTTGCTGCAGGGGCTCATTGGAGAAATTTGAGTAGGGGAGTCACAAGATTAAATTTGAGTATTAAGGCATTCTGGTTATGGCATAAAAATGGTTAGTAAGCTTTTCCTGTAAAGGATGAGGTGGGAAATATTTTAGACTATGTGGTCTCTGTTGTATCTTCTTAACCCTGCTGTTGTAGTGTGAAAACCACCATGGATAACATGTAAGCAAATTGGCATGACTGAGATCCAAGAAAACTTTATTTACAAAGCCATAAGGCAGACTGGATTTGGCCTGTGGCCTGTAGTTTGTTGACCCCTCATAAAGGATTGATGGAAGGTAACCATGTAAAGAAATCGGGAGACAAAGGAAGCTTCTGCATTAGCAGTCAGCAATAGTTTCCTTGTCACACATCCTTCAACTAGTGTCAGTGTATTTTGAGGTTTTCACCCATGCATGGTGGAAAAAAGAAACTCAGGAATATCAGTTACTCATTTTAAAATGTTGGCCTTTTTTGTGGTGTTACATCTTTTTCATTTGTTTTGCTTAATTTTTTTCATGTAAGAAATAACATTAATAGTTGGCCATTTTTATTTAAATAAAATCCATTTTCTAAATGTTTATGTTCCAAGTGGCAGTGGGAATATAAAGCAGAGACAGAAGAGAGGTATAGTCAATATGATGTAGTGATAATTGAATAAGAAAAGTTTGGGGAAAGAGAAATCTCAGATGATGCACTGGTGTCCAGATATACACTAGCATTTAACCTGGACATGAGGAAGGAGTAGGAAATTTCCTGGTGGATACAGAAGAGTAAAGAGCAGCAGATTAGCAGGAATGACTAATTTTTTTTCTATGCATGTTTAATGGCATATTTATACAGGATATTTTGAGTAGGTAATTGGATAATCAGCATTCATAACTTGCATCCTACTAGTTTGACTCTCAATAATAAAACTTGTCAATGATCCAAGAATCTGAAAGTTGATAAATGTCCATGTGTATCATCAATGACTGAAAGTCAGCATCCACAGAATTGGGACAGATGAACTCGATAAAGATGAATGTCGGAGTTGTGTTTCTCTTAGGGACTGATACTCTCTATGACCTGTGTGACTCACAGCTGCCAGAAAAGAAAGAGAGCAAGGAGCCTATTAAAGAAGCACAGCAAATTCAGTCCTAGAGTGTCTTGCTAGGCTTCATGTCACCGTTCGACTTGTAACAAATTATTTTCTGCAAAATGTGCTTTGTGTTTTTCCTCTCTTGCAGCCTGTGAACAAACAGAATCCCTTAACAGGGCATTTTTGTGTTCTTTCTTGAAACAAAGCAACATGTAAATAACAAAAAGAAAAAAGTAAGAGGAAGAGTGTTTTTTGTATAGGCTAGCATTTAATGTAAACTTGAGAGTGAGTACCAGGATTATACTTCGAATTTAGGGACTGGATGAGAAAACTAGATAGAAATCTATATTTAATATAAACATTTCAGTGTACTGGGTAAAACTTTTATTAAAATACATCAAAGGACTTTGATCCACTACACCAGGAGCTGGCCAGCTTTTACTGCAAGGACCCAGTTAGTAAATATTTTAGGCTTTGTGGGCTACGTGTATTTATTTTTTTTGAGACAGGGTCTCACTCTGTCTCCCCGGCTGGAGTGCAGTTGTGTGATCATGGCTCACTGCAGCCTTGACTTTCTGGGCGCTAGTGATCCTCCCGCCTCAGCCTCTCTACTAGCTGGGACCACAGGTGTGCAACATCACACTTAGCTAATGGACTCTATGGACTATAAAGTGAATAAGCATGGCTGTGCTCCAGGATACTTTACAAATACAGACAGGGGGCTGGATTTGGCCCACAAGTGCTAATTTGCTATCCTTGTGCTGAAAGGAAGGTGCTGCTAATGCAGTGAATCTTATTTGTAAAAGTACTCTGCATGTGTGACATTCTTCTTCCTTTGAAATAAGGATATATTTAAGTAGTCACCTCATCACGTTTCTCAACAGTAACTTGATGTAATTTTTAACATTTCATTTATAATATAAGATTCTTTTCTGCTTTTCTTCTATTTTATTCCTGTTAATAGCATTCAGTATTTTACTGTGATAATTACTTTGTATATTTGATGAGTATCCACTATCCTAGAATTGGCTGATTTTTATCAAGCAAGAAATACTCTCTTTGAAACTTTAGTATTCCTTGGTCTTTATGTGTAAGCACGAATATGATAACCAGCTTATGTAATTTAGTAATGATCAAGGAAGGAGTCTTTTAGTTCTATAATTTTAAGAATTTAATACCTCAGTCTGGCATCTTTTAACTCTGTAAGTGTAAAATTTTTATAACCTTTAAAATATATAATTGCTATATAAAATTTGAAAACTTCTGTTTCTTGTCTATTGCATTTCCATGACTGACTCCCAATTATGATCTCCTTAAAAGAACTATTTACACTCATGAACTCAGATTTTCTTTCCATTCAGTCTTGATCTCACACCAGTAAGTATTCAATTTCAGCACTCCTCCAAGGTTATTTTTCTCAAGGTTATCACTTATTTTTTTCTGTAACAAATCTAGGACATTTTTCTTATGCCTCATTTTATTTAATCTTTCAGGAATATTAAAGCACATGGAGGACATCTCCCTGAGAGCGTCTTCAGTTGACTTTCAGGACCTCACTCCCTCAGGCCTCTTGCCTTTCTAGTCCTTTATCATGGTCTGTTTACTCGCTTCTCATCTTTCTCCTTTTGCACATTGTTGTTTCCTAGGGCTCAGTCCTCAATCTTTTCTCGTTACTTTTTCTTTCTTTTTTGAGATGGAGTCTTGCTCTGTCACCTAGGCTGGAGTTCAGTGGCGCAATTTTGGTTCATTGCAACCTTCGCCTCCTGGGTTCAAGTAATTCTTCTGCCCCAGCCTTCTGAGTAGCTGGGATTACAGGTGCACGCCACCATGCCAAGCTAATTTTTGTATTTTTAGTAGAGACAGGGTTTCCCCATGTTGGCCAGGCTGGTATCAAACTCCTGACCTCAGGTGATCTGCCTGCCTTGGCCTCACAAAGTGTTGAGATTTCAGGCACTAGCCACTGCACCCAGCTCCTCAGGACTTTTTCTTTTTTTTCTTTTTTTCTTTTATTTTAGGTGCATATTATAGCTGGCATTTCTCCCCATGTTATCCCTTCCCAGCCTCCCCTCCCTTCCCAACCCCCACTGTCTCTTCCCTACCGCCTCCAACTGCCCCCAGTGTGTGATGTTCCTCTCCCTGAGTCCATGTGTTCTCATTGTTCAACACCCACCTATGATTGAGAACATATGGTGTTCGGCTTTCTGTTCTTGTGTCAGTTTGCTGAGATGATGGTTTCCAGATTCATCCAAGTCCCTACAAAGGACACAAACTCATCGTTTTTTATGGGTGCATAGTATTCCATGGTGTATATGTACCACATTTTCTTTGTCCAGTCTATCATTGGGCATTTGGGTTGGTTCCAGGTCTTTGCTATTGTACACAGGCTGCAATGAACATATGTGTGCATGTGTCTTTATAGTAGAACAATTTATAGTTCTTTGGATATGTACCCAGGAATGGGATTGCTGGATCAAATGGAATTTCTATTTCTAGATCCTTCAGAAATCACCACACTGTCTTCCACAATGGTTGAACTAATTTACACTCCCACCAACTGTGTAAGAGTATTCCTATTTCTCCACATCCTCTCTGGCATCTGTTGTCTCTAGATTTTTTTAATGATCACCATTCTAACTGGCATGAGATGATATCTCAGTGTGGCTTTGCTTTGCATTTCTCTAATGACCAGTGATGATGAGTGTTTTTTCATATGTTTGTTGGCCTCATATATGTCTTCTTTTGAAAAGTGTCTTTTCATATCCTTTGCCCACTTTTGAATGGGGTTGTTTTTTTTCTTGTATATCTGTTTTAGTTCTTGTAGATTCTGGATATTAGCCCTTTGTCAGATGGGTAGATTGCAAAAAATTTTTACCATTCTGTTGGTTGCCAATTTGCTCTAATGATGGTTTCCTTTGCTGTATAGAAGCTCTGGGGTTTAATTAGATCCCATTTGTCTATTTTGGCTTTTATTGCCATTGCTTTCGGTGTTTTAGTCATAAAGTCCTTGACTATGCCTATGTCCGGTATGGTTTTGCCTACATTTTCTTCTAGTGTTTTTATGGTGTTAAGTTTTGTGTTTAAGTCTTTGATCCATCTGGAGTTAATTTTAGTGTAAGGTGACAGGTAGGGGTCATTTCTGCTTTCTGCATATTGCTAGCCAGTTTTCCCAACACCATGTATAAAACATGGAGTCCTTTCCCCACTGCTTGTTTTTGCCGGTTTTGTCAAAGATCAGATGGTTGTAGATGTGTGGTGTTTCTTATGGGGTCTCCGTTCAGTTCCATTGGTCTATGTCTCTGTTTTTGGTACCAGTACCATGCTGTTTTGATTACTGTAGCCTTGTAGCATCGTTTGAAGTTAGGCAGTGTGATGCCTCCAGCTTTGTTCTTTTTGCTTAGGATTGTCTTTGCTATGCGGCGGTTTTTGTGATTCCATATGAAGTTTAAAGTGGTTTTTCCAGTTCTGTGAAGAAGGTCATTGGTAGCTTGATGGGGATAGCATTGAATCTATAAATTACTTTGGGCAGTATGGCCATTTTCACAATATTGTTTCTTTCTAACCATGAGTGTGGAATGTTTTTCCATCTGTTTGTGTCCTCTCTTATTTCATTGAGCAGTGGTTTGTAGTTCTCCTTGAAGAAGTCCTTTGCATCCTTTGTTAGTGTATTCCTAGGTATTTTATTCTCCTTGTAGCAATTGTGAATGGGAGTTTGCTCTTGATTTGGCTCTCTATCTGTTGGTATATAGGAATGCTTGTGATTTCTGCACAATTATTTTGTATCCTGAGACTTTGCTGAAGTTGCTTATCAGTTTCAGAAGATTTTGGGCTGAGACGATGGGGTCTTCTAAATACACAATCATGTCATCTGCAAATAGAGTACAGTTTGACTTCCTCCTTTCCTAATCAAATACCGTTTATTTCTTTTTCTTGGCTGATTGCTCTGGCTAGAACTTCCAATGCTATGTTGAATAGGAGCGGTGAGAGAGGGCATCCTTGTCTAGTGCCTGATTTCAAAGGAATTCTTCCAGCTTTTGCCTGTTCAGTATGATATGGGCTGTAGGTTTGTCATATATAGCTTTTATCATTTTATGATAAATTCTGTCAGTACCTAGTTTATTGAGAGTTTTTAGCATGAAGGGCTGTTGAATTTTATCAAAGACCTTCTCTGCATTTATTAAGATAATCCTGTGGTTTTTGTCTTTGGTTCTGTTTATGTGATGGATTACATTTATGGATTTGCTTATGTTAAACCAGCCTTACATCCCTGGGATGAAGCCTACTTGGTCGGGATGGAAAAGCTTCTTGATGTGCTGTTGCAGTCTGTTTGCCAGTATTTTATTGAAGATTTTTGCATCGATATTCATCATGGAGATTGGCCTGAAGTTTTCTTTTTTAGTTGAGTCTCTGCCTGGTTTTGGTATTGGGATGATGTTGGTCTCACAAAATGAGTTAGGGAGGATTCCCTCCTTTTGTATTGTTTGATAGTTTCAGAAGGAATGGAACCAGCTCCTCTTTGTACTTCTGGTAGAATTCGGCTGCGAACCCTCTGGACCTGGCCTTTTTTTTTGGTCGGTAGGCTATTGATTCCTGCCTCTACTTCAGCCCTTGTTATTGGTCTATTCAGGGTTTCAACTTCCTCCTGATTTAGTCTTGGTAGAATACAAGTGTCTAGGAATTTATCCATTTCATCCAGTTTTACTGGTTTATGTGCATAGAGTCATTTGTAGTAATCTCTGATTGTAGTTTGCATTTCTGTGGAGTCAGTGGTGATATCCCCTTTATCATTTTCTATTGCATCTATTTTATTCTTCTCCCTTTTCTTTTTTATTAATCTGGCTAGGGACCTGTCTGTTTTGTTGATCTTTTTGAAAAACCTGCTCCTGGATTTATTAATTTTATGAAGGTTTTTTTGTGTCTCTATCTCCTTCGGTTCTGCTCTGATCTTAGCTATTTCTTGTCTTCTGCTGGCTTTTGAGTTTTTTTGACCTTGCTCCTCTAGCTCTTTCAATTCTGATGATAGAGTGTTGATTTTAGATCTTTCCTCGCTTCTCTGGTGGGCATTTGTTGCTATAAATTTCCTTCTCGACACTGCTTTAAAAGTGTCCCAGAGATTCTGGCACATTGTGTCTTCATTCTCATTTGTTTCAAAGAACATCTTTATTTCTGCCTTCATTTCATTGTTTATCCAGTTGACATTCAGGAGCCAGTTGTTCAGTTTCCATGAAGTTGTGCAGTTCTGAGTTAGTTTCTTAATTCTGAGTTCTAATTTGATTGCATGTGGTCTAAGATACTGTTATGATTTCCATTGTTTTGCATTTGCTTAGGAGTGATTTATTTCCAGTTATGTGGTCAATTTTAGCGTAGGTGCTGTGCGGTGCTGAGCAGAACGTATGTTCTGTGGATTTGGGGTAGAGATTTCTGTTGATGTCTATTAGGTCTGCTTGGTCCAGATCTGAGTTCAAGTCCTGGACATCCTTGTTAATTTTCTGTCTCGTTGATCTGTCTAATATTGACAATGGAGTGTTAAAGTCTCCCATTATTATTATGTGGGAGTCTAAGTCTCTTTGTAGGTCATTAAGAACTTGCTTTATGGACGTCACCACCACGTACTCAGGGGTCCCCCGCGGCAGCGCTCAGGGCCCCTGGAGGGGCGGTCCATTTAACGGTGCGGCCAGAGGGGCGCAGGCGGGAGCGCGGCGGGGCTGAGCGCGCCCTCTGTGAGGCGTCGCTCGCGGGCCAGGGGCGGATGGGCGGCCTTAGGCCGCCGGGCAGCAGTCGGGATGCATGCGGGAGCCGGGGGCAGCGGCCGAGGCCTCGGCGGTCTGGCGGGGGCGCCCGGGGAACTTGGCGCGTCGGGGCCGGGAGTGGCGCGGGCCGGGCGGGGCGCAGGCGGGCGGGCGGGGAGCGCCCCGTGTTCGATCCCCGGGCCGGTCCCTGAGCGCGCGGCCTCTGCGCCGCCGCCGCGCCATGGCGGAGACCAAGATCATCTACCACGTGGACGAGGAGGAGACTCCGTACCTGGTCAAGCTGCCCGTGGCCCCCGAGCGCGTCACGCTGGCCGACTTCAGGAATGTGATCAGCAACCGGCGGGTGCACGCCTAAAAATTCTTCTTCAAGTCCATGGACCAGGACTTCGGGGTGGTGAAGGAGATCTTGGACGACAACGCCAAGCTGCCCTGCTTCAACGGCCGCGTGGTCTCCTGGCTGGTCCTGGCTGAGGGTGCTCACTCACATGCCGGCTCCCAGGGCACCGACAGCCACACAGACCTGCCTCCGCCTCTTGAGCAGACAGGTGGCATCGGGGACTCCCGGACCCCATCCTTCCACCCGAATGTGGCCAGCAGCCGTGACGGGATAGACAATGAGATGGGCATGGAGTCCAAGGTCGGCCACTGGCGGGAGCGTGCCCGCCGCCGGAACCGCGAGGAGGCCACCCGGACCAATGGGCACCCGAGGGGAGACCGGCGGCGGGACGTGGAGCTGCCCCCAGACAGCACGTCCACTGCCCTGAGCAGCGAGCTCGAGTTCAGCAGCTTTGTGGACTCAGATGAGGATGGCAGCACGAGCAGGCTGAGCAGCTCCACGGAGCAGAGCACGTCATCCAGGCTCATCCGGAAGCACAAGCGCAGGCGGAGGAAGCAGCGCCTGCGGCAGACGGACCGGGCCTCCTCCTTCAGCAGCATTACGGACTCCACCATGTCTCTCAACATCGTCACTGCCATGCTCAACATGGAGAGACACCACTTCCTTGGCATCAGCATCGTGGGGCAGAGCAACGATCGTGGAGATGGCGGCATTTACATAGGTTCCATAATGAAGGGCGGGGCAGTGGCCGCTGATGGCCGAATTGAGCCCGGGGACATGCTGCTGCAGGTAAACGATGTGAACTTTGAGAACATGAACAACGACGACGCTGTGCGGGTTCTTCAGGAGATCGTGTCCCAGACAAGGCCCATCAGCCTTACCGTGGCCAAGTGCTGGGACCCAACGCCCCGAAGCTACTTCACCGTCCCAAGGGCTGACCCCGTGAGGCCCATCGACCCTGCTGCCTGGCTGTCCTACACGGCGGCACTGACGGGAGCCCTCCCCCGCTACGGTACGAGCCCCTGCTCCAGCGCCCTCACGCGCACCAGCTCCTCCTCACTAACCAGCTTGGTGCCTGGTGCTCCGCAGCTGGAGGAGGCGCCGCTGATGGTGAAGAGTGACATGGGCACCGTCGTCTGGGTAATGCAGCTGCCGGACTTGGGACTGGAGATTTGTGACCGCATGTGGCTCAAGATCACCATCGCCAATGCCGTCATCAGAGCGGACGTGGTGGACTGGCTGTACACGCACATGGAGGGCTTCAAGGAGCGTCGGGAGGCCCAGAAGTATGCCAGCAGCTTGCTGAAGCACGGCTTCCTGCGGCGGCACAAGGTCAACAAGATCACCTTCTCTGAGCAGTGCTACTAAGTCTTCGGGGACCGGTGTAGCAATCTCGTGGCCCTGAACCTCAACAGTGGCTCCAGTGGGGCCTCGGATTGGGACATGCTGGCTCCGCTGCCCCACCCTACCACCCCCTGGCCCCTGGGACAGGGCTACCCCTACCAGTACCTGGGACCCCCGCCCTGCTTCCCACCTGCCTACCAGGACCCAGGCTTTAGCTATGGCGGCGGCAGCACTGGGAGTCAGCAGAGTGAAGGGAGCAAGAGTAGCGAGTCTGCCAGGAGCAGCCGCCAGGCACTGGGCCGTGAGAAGGAGCATCAGGCGGCAGGAGCTGGGGGCAGCGGCAGCGAATCAGACCACACGGCACCGAGTGGGGTGGGCAGCAGCTGGCGGGAGTGTCCAGCTGGCCAGCTTAGCCGAGGAAGAAGCCCACGCAGTCAGGCTTCAGCGACTGCCCCGGGGCTTCCCACACCCCACCCCGTGACCAAGGTCTCTACCATGGTCGGGGGCCCACCCGGGGGCCTGCCTGTCCGGGAGCTGGCCGCCATCCCCCCGGAATTGACAGGCAGCCGCCAGTCCTTCCAAAAGGCCATGGGGAATCCCTGCGAGTTCTTCATGGACATCATGTGATCTGTGTGCGCCCACAGTCCTGCCTGGGGCAGGGAGTTGGCCGTCCTGGTGCATGCAGAGCTCAAGAGGGCTAGCCTTAGTGGGGGCAGGCTGGACCATTGCTGTCATCTGCGCGGCAGCCCGGCGGCTCCAGCTCCTGGAAGCAGCTGTGTCTGAGCAGCCGCGTTAGGGTGCTCCCTCTTTGTTCCTCAGTGAGAGCCTCGGGGACCTCCCAACCCCTTGTGTCTGGTGGTGACCCCTCCTAGGACGAGGAAGACCCCCTGGGGCTCCGGGCTGACCCCCACACCTCCTGCACAGTGGTGCACGGGCCCCCTGAGAGACCCATGAGGTGCACGCCTGCAGTGCACAGGCCCATCCGTCTGACCCCGACGGGGCCTCCTGCGGGTGGAGCAGAGCCCCCAGGTCCCTCCTGCTGTCTGGGGTAGGGATCTAATTTATTTATTGCCTGGCTGGTGCCTCAGTGGAGGAGGTGGCCCTACCAGCTGTCCCAACTGCCCCCACCCCTTGGAGCAGCCTGCACCTTCCCACCTCTCCTTCAGCCACACAGTCGAGTCTGAATGTGTGGAGGATGGGACAGAAAGACAAGAGAGGGCTGGATGTCCTGCCCTCATCCCAACCAGGGCAGAGAGGGTCTGTGGTCCTCAGGGTCAAGGGGCCCTGATGGGCACAGCTGCCGCAGGGAGAGAGGTCTTGGGGAGATGAGCTGTCAGCTGGCCCGTCCTTGGTGAATGCACACACACTGCCCACTTGCACCATGGCCCGCACACACTGGCCCCCCTGTGTCTGCGCTGTAGATAATGTATCAAAGTCCTAGCATCTAGATGGTTAACATAGAGCTGCTTCTGCATAAAAAAAAAAAAAAAGAACTTGCTTTATGTACCTGAGTGCTACCCAGGTGCTCCTGTATTCGGTGCATATATATTTAGGATCGTTAGCTCTTCTTGTTGCATTGATTCTTTTACCTTTATGTAATCCCCTTCTTTGTCTCTTTTGATCTTTGTTGGTTTAAAGTCCATTTTATCAGAGACTAGGATTGCAACTCCTGCATTTTTTTTTTTTTTTTTTTTGCTCTCCATTTGCTTGATACATCTTCCTCCATCCCTTCATTTTTAGCCTATGTGTGTCCTTGCACATGAAATGAGTTTCCTGAATACAGCACACTGATGGGTTTTGACTTTTTATCCAATTTGGCAGTCTGTTTCTTATAATTGGGGCATTTAGTTCATTTACATTTAAGGTTAATATTGTTATGTGTGAATTTGATACTGCCATTTTGATGCTAGGTGGCTGTTTTGCCCTTTAGTTGACACATTTTCTTCATTGTATCGATGGTCTTTACCATTTAGTACATTTTTGGAGTGGCTGGTACTGATTGTTCCTTTTCTTGATTAGTGCTTCTTTCAGGAGCTCTTGTAAGGCAGGCCTGGCTTTGAGAACATCTCTCAGTAATTGCTTGTCCATTAAGGATCTTCTTTCTCCTTCGAATGTGAAGCTTAGTTTGGCTGGATATGAAATTCTAGGTTGAAAGTTCTTTCCCCTAAGGATGTTGAATATTGGCCATCACTCTCTTCTGGCTTGTAGGGTTTGTGTGGAGAGAGCCCCTGTGAGTCTGCTTGTCTTCCGTTTGTGGGTAACCCGACCTTTCTCTCTTGCTGCCCTTAGCATTTTTTTCTTGATTTCAACCCTGGTGAATCTGATGATTATGTGCCTTGGGGTTGCTCTTCTTGAGGTATATCTTTGTGGTGTTCTCCATACTTCCTGGACTTGAATGGTGGCCTGCCTTGCTAGGTTGGGGAAGTTCTCCTGGATAATATCCTGAAGAGTGTTTTCCAGCTTGCATTCATTCTCTCTGTCACATTCAGGTACGCCTATCAAACGTAGATTAGGTCTTTTCACATAATTCCATATTTCTTAGAGGCTTTGTTCATTTCTTTTCACTCTTTTCTCTCTACTCTTGCCTTCTCCTTTTGTTTCATTGTGTTGATCTTCAATCTCTGATATCCTTTCTTCTGCTTGGTCAATTCAGCTACTGAAACTTGTGTATGCTTCATGAAGTTGTCATGCTGTGTGTTTCAGCTCCATCAAGTCGTTTCTATTCTTCTCTAAGCTGTTTATTCTAGTCAGCATCTCATATAACCTTTTTTTCTAGGTTCTTAGTTTCTTTGCACCAGGTTAGCACATGCTCTTTTAGCTCTGAGAAGTTTGTTATTACCCACCTTCTGAATCCTGTTTCTGCCAATTCATCAGGTTCATTCTCCATCTATCTTTGATCCCTAGCTGGTGAGGAGTTGTGATCCCTTGGAGCAGGAGAGTTCTTCTGGTTTTTGGTGTTTTCTTCCTCTTTGCGCTGGTTTCTTCCCATCTTAGTGGCTTTATCTACCTGTGGTCTTTGTAGTTGATGACTTTCAGGTGGGGTCTCTAAGTGGACATCCTTTTAATTGATGTTGAAGTATTTCTTTCTGCTTCTTTAGTTTTCCTTCTAACAGGCCCCTCTGCTGCAGGATCACTGGAGGTCCACTCCAGATCCCACTCACCTGGGGATCACCCACAGGGGCTGCAGAACAGCAAGGGTTGCCGTCAGTTTCTTCCTCTGCTATCCTCATCCCAGAAGGGTACCCACCAGATGTTGGCCTGAGCTTTCCTTTATGATGTGTCTTTTTGGGAATATGGGGCTCAGGGAGTTGCTTGAGGAGACAGTCTGTCCCTTATAAGAGCTCAAGTGCTGTGCTGGGAGTTCTGTTGTTTTGTGCAGAGCTGATAGGCTGGTACCTTTAAGTCTGTTGCAGGTAAACTCATAACCGCCTGTTTTCCAAGGTGCTCTGTCCTAGGAAGGTCAGCTTTATTTATAAGTTTCTGTTGTGCTGCTGCCTTTTTCATAGATGTCCTGCCTGGCACAGAGTAGTCTGCATTGGTAGTGAAAGACTGCCTTGGTAGTGGGGGACACCCTTCCCCTGACTGAGCTATACCATCCCAGGTCCAGCTGCACTTGTTTTGAAACTCTTAATCCAAAGGGTTTCCGATTTCTTGTCTTGTGGGGGTGGTACCCATCAAGCCAGATCACCTGGTTCCCTGTCTCAGCCCCCTCTGTTTCAGTTGAATGGGCAGGTCTGTCTCCCAGGCATTCCAGGCACCAGTTGAAATGACCACCCAAACTTATGTGAGTTTCTTTGTGCTGACCCAGCACTGGCTGAAACTGCTGAAATGAAAACTCATGGCGCTTTTCCGCTCAGGAATCTCCTAGTCTGTGGGCAGTGAAAACTTGTTTGGAAATGCAGTGAGCACTCACCCTCTGCACTGTTCTCACTGGGAACTGCACTCCGGAGATGTTCCTATTCAACCATCTTGGACCCTCCCTAATCTCATTATTTCTAAGAAAAACTCTATAAGTCATATCTTATTTATCATTCATATTTTGAATTAAAGGCTTTTTTTGTATTATATATTTACATCACAGACGTAACTGTGATTTTCTGGAGGATCACTAGAAGTAGCATCAGATGACCTAGGGAAAATTCTTCACAATATACTGTACACACACACACACACACACCTATATACATATATATATACACACACACACGTGCACACATGTTTGTTTTGAAACAGAGTCTCACACTGTCTGTCACCCAGCTTGGAGTGCAGTGGCGTGATCTCAGCTCACAGCAACCTCCACCTCCTGGTTCACATGATTCTCCTACCTCAACCTTTTGAGTAGCTTGGATTACAGGTGCACACCACTATACCTGGCTAATTTTTAAATTTTTAGTAGAGATGAGGTTTCCCTATGTTGGCCACACTGGTCTTGAACTAACCTCATGATCCACCGACCTCAGCAGCTGGGATTATAGGTGTGAGCCACTGCACCCGGCCACATGTACAAGTGCAGTGCTACATACAACACTGAACATTACAGGCATGAACCACAGTGCCCAGCCACATATATTTTTTTGTTTCTCTTTTTAAGAATCTCAATCTTAAATGAGTTCAAAGTTTTATGTAGAAGTGCAATGCTTAGACGCAGATGTGTACATATAGAAGGATACAATCCTTAGAGTTTACAGTTATGAATAAATGTAATTCTTATAACTGACTATAAAAGTATTAGAAAAGTCATATATTAATAAAACATTCTTCAGAAAAAGGAACTTAAAAACTTTGAGGAATTGCTTCTGTCCAAATACATGCATAGCTAAGGCTCTTACAATGGTGTGATTTATAGGATAGACAGCAGAGTGCAAATCCAATTTTAAAAACATAGTCAAATGTATTAATCTTATATTTTATGCCTATGGGTTTTTTGTAATTCAGAGAAAGCTGTTCCAATTCTGAAATTCTTTAAAATCCTCTAGTGATTTATTTTTTACGGTATTTAAATCAATATTTAAACTTTCTGGAACTTACACTCTATTAGGTTTGAAGTCTTGTCCAGCTGTTTTTCAGTTAAATATTCACCGTGGGAATTCTTTCATTATACAGATATACACATTATTCTTAAATTTCAGAAGAAATTATCATATGTTATTCTATTGTGTGCTAACTAAAATTTTCCTTTGTTGACTGAGAGTTCTCTTACCCATAAGAAAGAAAAAGATCTTTTGCATGAAAATAGCATGTTGTGGGAAAAAATTGCCATGCTAAGCCTGGAACTAGACACAATAAAACAGCAAAACCCGCTAAGGAAAAAGAAATTTTTGGAGGACACTGAAAGTGTGAAAGCAAAGAATGCTAATATTCTAAAGCCTATAAAATTGGATAAGGAGGAATGAACAAAGACAGTATTTAAGGACAGTGGCAGCTCAGCATTTTGATAACGAGGATAAGATGGTCAGTTCTGAATTGGAGAATGTAAGACACAACTAGGAAACACTGGAAATGGAAATTCAGTCATGCCATTGTAGACTGGCTACTGCTCTACATGACTGACCAAAGCCAGATAGCAGAAGGAGCCTTCTTTCCAGAGAAAAGACATGAACAGGTTTATTTACAGGAGACAATGAATTCTCCTATATCTAACTGAAAGATAACAGCAAGATTCTTTCTGAACAACCGTAATGCTTATTGTAAAGTTAACAGCCTAAAAGTTCAGCTCCATCACACAAGATAAACTCTGAGAGAAAAGACAGGGCAGGCCGCTGTCTTTCCTGTTGGAGGAACTCAGTTATTCCAGCCTGCAGTCATTGGAGAGTACAAACTGACCAGGGGCAGAAGTCAGCCTGCAGCACAGCAGAGCTGCTTTCCCAAATCACGGCCAGACTGCTTCTGTAAGCAGGCTCCTGATCCTGTTCCTCCTTACTGAGCAGGACTTCCCACCTGGGGCCTACAGCTACCTGCACCAGTGTTCCCTGGCTAATGGAGATTTGAAACATTCCTTAGAGCTCCCACAGAGGGGGGTGGGCCACCCACTTTGCTGTTTGGATAACTAGCTGTTCTGGCCTATGGGCTTTGGAGAGCCCAAGCTGACCGGGGGTGGAAGTGGTAGTTCAGAACAGCACAGCCATCTTGTGAAAACATGGCCAGACTCTTGTTGAAGTCAGTCCCCAACCACATTTCTAATCCCTGGGTGGAGCCTTTCAACCAGGGCCTCCGGCTGCCTTCACTGCTGTTCTGTGGCTGACAGATGTTTCAGGCCTCCCTGAGTCAGAGCTTCCAGGGGGAGGACCAGACTGTCATATTTGCTGTTTGGGTGACTCAGCTATTTCAACCTTGGGGCTTCAGAGTGTCTGAGGCAACCAGGGGCTGAAGTGAACCCCCAGCACAGCACAGCTGCTCTACAGAAATGTGGCCAGACTTTTTTCAAAGCAAGTCGCTGTTCTTGTTCCTCCCGACTAGACAAGACTTCTGAACTTGTCTCCAGCCACCTCCTATAGGTGTGTTCAGATTGGCAACAGGATTGTACCTCCGTGGTACAGAGCTCCCCGAGGAAGAGGCAGACTATCATCTTTGCCTTTTCGCAGCCTTCATTAGTGATGCCTTCAGGCACTGGAAGATATGAGGCGATTAGGGACTGGAGTGGACCCCCAGCACACCACAGCAGCCTTATGGAAAAGTGGCTGAACTGTTACATGGGTGCTGGTTTCCATATCTCCTCGATGAGCAGGTCCTCCCGGCTTGGGTCTTTAGCCAGGCCCCCACTGAAGCCATCAAGCCAGTAGCAACTTGGCAATTCCTTGGACAGAGATTCCAGGAGCAACTGAAATCCTCTCTGCCACTGCCTCTGCAGTGGATCTGCCCTTGTTACCTTCTGAATATCAAGAAAGCAAAGACCCTAAGTGCCATATTGATACCTCTAACAAGCTGCAGTTAACCCAAGAAACAAGGCAGTCCATCTCTTGTGGGTACCACACACCCCCCACTGCTTATCACCAGACAGGGAACCCTGGCTTGGGCCCACAGCACAGACCCTCCATCCTGGGCTGATTACACTAAGTGATGGCTAGCTCACATCGCTCTGGGGTGGAGCCCCCAGGAGACAAGCAAAGTGATGGAGCAGCAAGCCAGCTGATGTGAAGCCCAGAGGGCAGGGACAGCCATCTCTCCAGGCTCTACTTGGTCTTATGAGACACTTTATCAGCACTTTAGTGTGTGGAGGTCAGATCAGCCACATCTCATGTGAAGATTGCCCAGCAGAGATCAGGTGTGAGAGTTTCCCACTTAATGAAAGGAGACTTGCTTAAAAAAGAAGTCTGGCCACATTTTTGTAGAGCAGCTGTGCTGTGCTGGGGCTTCACTTTTCAGAGAATTCTCCTCTGAGACATGATCTCTGCTGGGCATTCTTGAACATGAGATGAAGCTGGTCTGACCTCTGCACTCCTTAGTCTGCTTGCCTCTCCCAGGGCCCCAGCCTGGCCACACCTGCCTACAGGGCACTCTCAGGTGCCCACACCATAGCTTCTGTGCCAGTGGACCATGTCTGAGCAGTGGAAAGATGCAGCAACATGGCCCGTCCAGGCATGCACCAGCCTCTACATTGCCTCTCCATACTGCAGCTCTTTATACACAAATTTCCTACATCGCTTTGCTGGTGTGTGTTTACATGAGTGGATTTTGCCGTCCTTGCCCTACCAGCACTTGGGAGTGTAGCGCACACTTCAACTCACAGCAACTGCCATTGAAGAGAAAGCCATGATGGGCACAGAATCAAAAACACCACCCTTGCCAACACCTTGCCCTTGAGCTAATGCTGTGCACAAAAAAGGGACCGTAATGTACCTTGAGTGACTACTGCTGCTTAGGGGGTCACAGAGAAGGCACCCAGACCTGCACAGGCCAGCACCCCACCCTGAACCAACACTACCTCCAGTGCAACAGCACACTCAGCAGGGGTCCCCTGGCCCCCACCCAAGCTGTCTTGCCTCCACCACTGGGTGAATGCCCACAGGGAGGCAGGCACTTTTGCATCTGCTAGCACTATGCCACAGCTGCCACACATTGGTGCCTTCAGTGCAGTAGACTCCACACTTCGAGGAGCCAGAAAACAAAGTTGAGACCCAATACAAGTTTCCCAGAGTTAAAGGACACAGTCCAGGAATTGGGAGATGAATGTTGGCCCCCTAAAGTTCTCCAAAACCAAAGCCAGTTGGCTGAATCTACCTTACGCCACAATCAAACCCTCAAGGTCGTCAAATATGATAAAAGAAAAATACCCTGTCCAAAGGTCAGCAACCTCAAAGGTTGAAGGTGAATTTGCTCAGAAAGATGAGGAAGAATCTGTGCGATAACACTGAAAACTCAAAAAGTCAGCATGCCTTCTTTCCTCCAGATGATTACATCAACTGTTCAGCCTGTTCAAGTTTTCAGAACTGGCCAGAGGCTGACATGTCTGAAACGATACAGGCAGAATTCAGAATGTGGGTAGAAACAAAGTTCACTGAGTGAAAGAAGTATGTCATGATCCAATGCAAGGAGGCCAAAAATGATTGTAAAACATCACAGGAGCTAACAGGCAATATAGCCAGCATAAAGAACATAACCAGTGCTCGCTTTGGCAGCACATGTACTAAAATTGGAATGATTCAGAGAAGATTAGCATGGCCCCTTCACAAGGATGACATGCAAATTCGTGAAGCATTCCGTATTTTTAGGAAGAATCAATATTGTGAAAATGGCCATACTGCCCAAAGTAATTTATAGATTCAACGCTATCCCCATTAAGCTACCAATGACCTTCTTCACAGAACTGGAAGAAACCACCTTAAACTTCATATGGAACCAAAAGAGAGCCCGCATAGCAAAGACAATCCTAAGCAAAAAGGACAAAGCCAGAGGCATCATGCTACCTGATTTTAAACTGTACTACAAAGCTACAGTAATCAAAACAGCATGGTACTGGTACCAAAACAGAGATATAGACCAATGGAACAGAACAGAGGCCCTGATGGCAATGCCACACATCTACAACCATCTGATCCTTGACAAACCTGACAAAAACAAGCAATGGGAAAAGGATTTCCTGTTTAATAAATGGTGTTGGGAAAACTGGCTTGCAGTGTGCAGAAAGCAGAAACTGGACCTCTTCCTGACACCTTATGCTAGAATTAACTCCAGATGGATTAAAGATCTAAACATAAGACATAATGCCATAAAAAATCTAGAAGAAAACCTAGGCAAAGCCATTCAGGACATAGGCATAAGCAAAGATTTCATGACTAAAACCCCAAAAGCATTGTCAACAAAAGCCAAAAGTGACAAATGAGACCTAATTAATCTCCAGAGCTTCTGGACAGCAAAAGAAGCCATCATTAGAGTGAACCAGCAACCAAGAGAATGGGAAAAAATTTTTGCAATCTACCCATCTGACAAAGGGCTAATATCCAGAATCTACAAAGAACTAAAACAGATTTACAAGAAAAAAACAAACACATCCCAAAGTGGGCAAAGGATATGAACAGACACTTTTGAAAAGAAGATATATATGAGGCCAAGAAACATATGAAAAAACTCTCATCATCACTGGTCATTAGAGAAATGCAAATCAAAACTACATTGAGATACCATCTCATGCCAGTTAGAATGGTGATCATTAAAAAATCTGGAAATAACAGATGCCAGAGAGCATGTGGAGAAATAGGAACACTTTTACACTGTTGCTAGGAGTGTAGGCTAGTTGAACCACTGTGGAAGATAGTGTGGTGCTTCCTCAAGGACCTAGAAATTGAAATTCCTTTTGACCCAGCAATCCCATTACTGGGTATATACACAAAGGATTATAAATCATTCTATTATAAAGACACATGCACACGTATGTTCATAGTGGCACTGTTTACAATAGCAAAGACCTGGAACCAACCCAAATGCCCATCGCTGATAGACTGGGCAAGGAAAACATGGCACATATACACCATGGAATACTATGCAGCCATAAAAAATGATGAGTTCGTGTCCTTTGTAGGGATATGGATGAATTTGGAAACCATCATTCTTGGCAAACTGACAGAAGAACAGAAAATCAAACACTGCATGTTCTCACTCATAGGTGGATGTTGAACAATGAGAACACATGGACACAGGGAGGGGAGCATCACACACTGGGGTCTGTTTGGGGGTGGCCAAGAGAGGGACGGCAAGGGGGTGGGGAGGTCAGGGAGGGATAACATGGGGAGAAATGCCATATGTATGTGACGGGATGGAAGCAGCAAACCACATTACCGTGTGTGTACCTATGCAACAATCCTGCATGATCTGCACATGTACCCTAGAACCTAAAGTACAATTAAAGAAAAAAAAGAACAAACTGACGTGATAGAGCTGAAAAGCACACTACAAAAATTTTATAATGCAGCCGCATGGTAATTGTGTGTGATTGCATTATGAAAATTCTTGTAGTATGTGTGGGCACAGAAGGGTGCCCTGTAAGCAGGTGTGGCCAGGCTGGGGTCCTGGGAGAGGCAAGCAGACTAAGGAGTGCTGAGGTCAGAGCAGCTTCATCTCATGTGCAAGACCACCTAGTAGAAAGGACCAAACAGGGGAAAGAGTCTCAGAGCTTGAAAATTGGCTTTCTGAAAGAAAAGAGGTAAGAATGGGGAAAAGAATGAAAAGGAATGACCAAAACCTTTGAGCAATAAAGGACTATGTAAAAAGATGAAATGTATGCCTTATTACTGTACCTGAAAGGATGACAAAAATGGAACCAACTTGGAAAACATATTTCAGAATTTCATTCATGAGAATTTCCCCAACCCAGCCAGACAGACTAACATTGAAATTCAGGAAATCCAGAGATTCAGCTATGCCACGAGAAGAATATCCCTAAGACACATAATCATCAGGTTCTCCAAGGTCAAAATGAAAGAAAAATTGTCAAAGGCAGCTAGGGGGAAAGACAAGGTTGCCTACAAGGGGAATCCCATCAGACTAACAGTGGACCGCTCAGCTGAAACCCTACAAGCCAGAAGAAATATTCAACTGCTTAAAGAAAAAAATTTCAACCCAGAATTTCAAGTCCAGCAAAACTAAGTGTCATAAGTGAAGGAGAAATAAGATCGTTTTCAGGCAAGCAAATGCTGAGGGAATTCATTACCAGCAGATCTACCTTACAAGAGCTCCTGAAAGTAACACTTAATACGGAAAGAAAAGATCATCACCAGCCACTATAAAAATGCACTGAATTACACAGACCAGTGATGCTAAAAAACCAACCACATACACAAGTCTGCAAAATTATCAGTTAACAGCGTGATGGCAGGACCAAATCCATACATATATCACTAACCTTAAATGTAAATGGACTAAATGCTCCAACTGAAAAACATAGCAGGGCAAGCTGGATAAAGAACCAAGACCATTTGAGTATGCTGTCTTTAAGAGACCATCTCACATGCAATCCCGCACATAGGCTTAAAATGATTGGAGAAAAATCTTTCAAGCAAATGGAAAACAGAAAAAAGGAGGTGTTGCAATCCTAGTTTCTGACAAAACAGACTATACCAGTAAAGATAAAAAGAGAAGGGGCTTGGTGGCTCAAGCCTGTAATCCCAGCACTTTGGGAGGCAGATCACGAGGTCTCAAGAGATCGAGACCATCCTGGCCAACATGGTGAAACCCCGTGTCTACCAGAAAGACCAAAAAAAAATTAGCTGGGCGTGGTGGCATCTGCCTGTAGTTCTAGCTACCCGGGAGGCTGAGGCAGGAGAATTGCTTGAACCGAGGAGGAGGAGATTGCAGTGAGCTGAGATCGCCGCACTGCACTCCAGCCTAGCTCCTGGCAACGGAACGAGACTCTGTCTCAAAAAAAAAAAAAAAAAAAAAAATATATATATAGAGAGAGAGAGAGATTACAAATGTGGCCCTGACCTTTGATAAATGTTATTATTGCTTGATACCAACCTGGGCTATCCTTATTGTTCAAACCAATAGGATAGATAATTTGCTGAGGTTTGGGAGCTTCTGCCCTCCGGAGAGTCCCTGATCTCCCAAAATTTGGTTGAGAGCTAAGGTTGATTTTGCTTTACAGCTCCTTTTGTGAAGTTTTACTCATTTCTGGTGAGAAAGACAAGTTCTCCTGCTTCCATGATGATGGAGAGCAGGCACTTCTTTTCTTGAGTTTCAGCTTGCTTCTGACAGGAAAGGTGAGTGTGAATATTTTCCTGCTTCTAAGATGGTAGAGAACAGTCATCAGCCTGAGCCTGATTTCCAGGTAAGTGGCTAACTTAAAGATTTGTCTTAAAATTTTTTCTTAATGACTAAAAGTTAAGATTACCAACCAGTTGGTTTTAACTTCTCCTTACCATTATGACACTTAGTAGTCATATTTATTGTGCATTTGTTTATTTTGCTTAACTTTTTTATTTATTTATGTTTGGAATTTTGTTGTTATTTCACTTTTCTTCCATCAAGTATCACCATATCTTTCTGACTTGGTCAAATCCAAGGGACTGTTCCAAATTTTGGGAAGCAAGTCATCTGAATTGGCTAAAACTCTTGTAGCTGCCAAGTATGTATTTTCTAGTTAGCAGAAATTCCTTTTTTTTTTTTAACCTAAGAGTTTCTGTTCATATAAGGCCATCTTTTGCCAGCCAAGGCCAAACTGAAAAAGCAGTGGTGGCCTTCCAATCCTAAGATTCTACCCTGTTCCCTACGACAACCTAAGTTTGGTTCCCAACTCTAGTCCTTTCTGGTTTGGTATTTGTTACTTTTAAAATATCAGCAGTTTGTCCCAGCTATGATGTGGTAGTAAGAGATTCAAAAGGATTTTCTTTAAGCACTTTATAATTAAAGCAGATTTCTTTTTTTTGTTATTATTATACCTTAAATTCTGTGGTACATGTGCAGAGCGTGCATGTTTGTTACACAGGTATACACGTACCAATGGGGGCTTGTTGCACCCATCAACTTATGATCTATCTTAGGTATTTCTCCTAATGCTATCCCTCCCCTAGGCCCAACCCTGACAGGTCCCAGTTTGTGATGTTCCCCTCCCTGTGTCCATGTACTCTCATTGTTCAACTCTCACTTATGAGTGAGAACATGTGGTGTTTGGTTTTCTGTTCTGTCAGTTTGCTGAGAATGATGGTTTCTAGCTTCATCCATGTCCCTGAGAAGGACATGAACTCATCCTTTTTAATAGCTGTATAATATTCCATGGTGTATATGTGCCACGTTTTCTTTATCCAGTTTATTATTGATGGGCATTTGGGTTGGTTCCAGGTTTTTGCTATTGTGAACAGTGCCACAGTAAACATACGTGTGCATATGTCTTTGTGTTAGAATGATTTATAATCCTTTGGGTATATACCCAGTGTTGGGATTGCTGGGTCCAATGGCATTTCGATTTCTATATCCTTGAGGAATCACCACACTGTCTTCCACAATGGTTGAACTAATTTACACTCCCACCAACAGTGTAAAAGAGTTCCTATATCTCTACATCTTCTCCAGCATCTGTTCTTTTCTGATTTTTTAGTGATTGTTTTTCTAAAATGACAAGTGATGATGAGCTTTTCATTATATGTTTGCTGGTTTCATAAATGTCTTCTTTTGAGGAGTGTCTGTATATATTATTTGCCTACTTTTTGATGGAGTTGGTTTTTTTCTTGTAAATTTAAGTTCTTTGTAGATTCTGCGTATTAGCCTTTTGTCAGATGGATAGATTGCAAAAATTATCTCACATTCTGTGGGTTGGCCATTCACGCTAATGACAGTTTTGTTTTGTTTGACTTTCTTTTCTGTGCAGAAGCTTTTTAGTTTAATTAGATCTCATTTGTCAATTTTGACATTTGTTGCCATTACTTTTGGTGTTTTAGTCATGAAGTCTTTGCCCATGCCTATGTTCTGAATGGTATTGCCTAGGTTTTTTTCTCGGGTTTTTATAATTTTATGTCTTCTGTCTTAGTCTTTAATCCATCTTGTGTTAATTTTTTTATAAGGTGTAAGTAAGGGGTCCAGTTTCAGTTTTCTGCATATGGCTAGCCAGTTTTCCCAACACCATTTATTAAATCCATTACTCATTGTTTTTTTGTTGTTGTTGTTTTGGTCTGGTATGTCAAAGATCAGATGGTTGTAGATGTGTGGCATTATTTTTGAGGCCTCTGTCCTGTTCCATTGGTGTATATATCTGTTTTAGTTCCAGTACCATGCTGCTTTGGTTACTGTAGGCTGGTAGTATAGTTTGAAGTCAGATAGCCTGATGTCTCCAGCGTTGTTCTTTTCTTGGCCATGCGGGCTCTTTTTACATCCCATATGAAATTAAAGGTAGTTTTTGCCAATTCTGTGAAGAAAGTTAATGGTAGCCTGATGGGGATAGCATTGAATCTATAAATTACTTTGAACAATGTGGCCATTTTTATAATATTGATTCTCCCTATCCATGAGCATGGATTTTTAAAATTTGTTTGTGACTTCTCTTATTTCTTTGAGCAGTGGTTTGTAGTTCTTTTTTAAGAAGAACGTTAAGTATGGACACAAGAAGAACAAGGCAGCTGTCTTAATGCTCCATGAGTGCATGCTTAACATTGAACTTATATCCCCTTAGCTACCAGTTGTTTTTCCAATTTAGGTTCACAGTAGTCGTAACTGATAAGTTGTCCTAGGTAACTTGACTTAGACCATGGAGTTCATTCAAATTGTATATATAAACAATTTCAGTATTGGCTGATTTAGAATATCAGTCTGACAAAATGTTTTCTTGGTATTCAGTTAATTTTTCTTCTACTTGTATAGGAGTTTTAAAAACAAGTAAGTCTTTTCATTAAAATTCCAGGAAATCTTACACAGTCCTTAAAGTATATGGGATTATTTGACAAATGATGTGATTCTAAAGTTTGCAGAAATCTGTATTCAAGAGCTCTTTTTCAGGGTCTTTGCATTCTTTCAGGAACCTCCTAAAAGATACCATATTCTAGGACATTTTGTGCTTGTGAAGTTTTCAGAAACTGCATCAATCAGTATTAAGCAGTTAACTGTGGAAATAATGTTAAATAGTTATAGTTACACGATTGACAAAAAAATCTGTTCATTTCTGTGGTCTACAATTTATCATGGAAACAATATAATTGATAGCATATATTTAGACATATTAGAATTTTAGGAATGTCATACAATTTTCAAATATATATTCACATTTATTATAATATAATCTGAAGAAGGTAAAATATTTTTTATTTTGATGGTGCTTCTCATATAACAACATGTCAAATAATCCCATATACTTTTCTTTTGGATTATTCAGTACCCTCTGTTGCATCCCAAATTTAGAAGTCAAAAAGACTTACTTTTGAAGATGAAAGTGGGTTTTGGGAAGCCTATCAAATATGTTAACATTGACATAAATATATTAAAGGCTTAAGACACTTGATATAAAATGGAATGCCAGGTCACAGTAAGTCATTCATTTAGCCAAAATGGTAACTCAAAAAATGTTTTAAGGCAAAAGCTTTTACTCATTGATAGAAGGCTTAGCTTTTCAAGCAATATGTGTCTTTCCCTTCTTTTTCCTGTAGTTTATTTGAGGAGAGACAGAAATCTTTTATTATTCTTTAATATTACATTAAAATCTTATTCAAGAGAGAAAGCCAAATTTTACTCTTGCATTAGTGTACTATTAATGTCAGCTCCAATTTTTAATAAAACCTTAAAAGATGGATTCATCCAGTCTTCCTCAGTTTGACTATAAGTTGAAATTCTTATAAGCTTTTGATAACCTTTTACAAATTTGTATTAAAGCAAAATTAGTGCTCTAAGAAAATCCTGTTGTGTTTTTATTCCAATGTTCAATTTGTGGAAAAACTGAACAATGCTCCTTTAATTTAGCCAATGTGTTCATGTACAGTGTTTCTTTTACAAGATGACTGTTTCCCAAACCTTCCACAACTTGCTCAAACCTTTAGCTATGTTCTAAGTCAAAATAATTTTTAACCTGAACTAAGCAAAAATTTACATTCTAATGCCTTATAATGTTTTACTGAAAGCACAGTTTACTTTTTCCACAAAGCTTCCATGTAAAACTTTTTTCTGTAGTCTCAATTACATGTTACAATGTTAACTCTTGGCCATTTTTTTTTTTTTTTGGTGAAACACCTGGCAGGTAAGTGATTTTAATTTTGTACTAGGTATGGAGCCAAGGACACCAAACAGAAGTACAGATAAAGTCTGACTTTTTCAAGCATAGCCAGGGGGCACAGCTAACTCCACATGTTCCCAGACCTTACCTAGAATCTAATGACTCCAAAGCAGGTAAGTTGAACAAATCTTAAAAGTCAAAAGAAGCAGTTTCTTACTTTTAAGCATTTTAAACCTAATATCTGACTTGCCTAATTTAGAGCTAATGTCTTTATTTTACCAATAAACTTTAAAACTGTCTTTATTTCTCAATATTACTAAAGTCATGTGAACTAAAAGGTATTACAGTTTTTATTTTTCTGAAAAAATTAATTTGATTTAAGCATTCATTATTTTAAAGCCAATTAGAGAGCTTTTTAATTTATAAACATCTCACACAACACATAAAAATACACAGAGTAGATCCAGTAGTTGTCAGATTTTTCATTTGCCAGTTTTTGTTTCTCTTTTTTCCTTTTTTTTAACAATGAACTGATGATATTCATATAATTAGATTGCCATCAAATGTTTCAGTTTAACAGGAGATTATATAACATACTTTAACCATATTCAAATTTGAATAAAATATATATTTAGGTAAAGACTCATAGTATTTGTCTTCTATATCACTTTTTTTTTTTTTTTTTTGGAGGGGGAGGAAGGCAGGAAGGAAGGGAATAAGGACGGTAGGGAGGAAGGAAGGGAGGAAGCGGGGAGGGCGGGAGGGAGGGAGGGAAGGGAAGAAAGGAAATCAAGCATTGTAAGAGACATTGCCGACCTGGATCTAGAGGTTTACAAGTTGACTTCTTTTTTTTTGAGAGAAGGAAAGAAAAAAAAAATAAGTAAAGGAGAGGAAGAAAGAGGAAGAGAAAGAGGGAGAGTAAATGGAAATATTGCTTTATTTTGAAAAAAATTGGGTATTAATAATGGCCAATCAATGTTTCATTTAAACTAATGGGTAGGTGTGATGTGGTATTGACAAGAATGTATATTTTGTGTATTTGAAGTGGAGAGCTCTATAAATATTTATTAAGTTTACTTGTTCTGGATCTGAGTTCGAGTCCTTGATATCCTTATTAATTTTCTGTCTCATTGAATCTAAGTCTCCTATCTGGGTGCTAGGATCGTTAGCTCTTGTTGTTGCATTGATCCTTTTACCACTATATCTTTGTTGCTTTAAAATCTATTTTATCCGATACAAGGATTGCAACTCCTGCTTTTTATTTATTTATTATTTATTTTTGCTCTCCATTTGGTTGGTAAATCTTTCTCCATCCCTTTGTTTTGAGGCTTTGTGTATCCTTGCATGTGAAACAGGTCTGGATGTAACATGCCATTGGGTTTTGGCTGTGTCTTTTGATTGGGAATTCAGTCAATTTAAATTTAGGGTTACTGCCATTTGATGTTGACTGGCTGTTTTATCCATTCGTTGGTGTAAATTCTTCTTTACGTTGGTGCTCTTTACTTTTTGGTGTATTTTTAGAAAGGCTAATACTGGTTGTTTCTTTCTGTGTGTAATGCTTCTTTCAGAAGCTCTTGTAAAGCAGGCCTGGTGGTAATAAAATCTCTGAGTTCTTGCTTGTTCATAAAAGATTTTATTTTTCCTTCAGTTGTGAAGCTTAGTTTGGCTGGATATGAAATTCTGGGCTGAAGGTTCTGTTCTTTGAGGATGTTGAATATTGGCCCCCACTCTCTTCTGGCCTGTAGAGCTTCTGCCGAGAGATCTGCTGTAAGTCTGATAGGCTTGCCTTTGTGGGTAATCTGACCTTTCTCTCTGGCTGCCCTTAGTATCCTCTCCTTCGTTTCAACCCTGGTGAATCTAACGATTATGTGCCTTGGGGTTGCTCTTCTTGAGGAATATCTTTGTGGTGTTCTCTGTATTACCTGGGGTTGAATGTTGACCTGCTTTGCTAGTTTAGGAAAATTTTCCTGAATAATATCCTGAAGGGTATTTTCCAGCTTGGATTCATTCTCTCCGTCGCATTCAGGTACACCTATCAAACGTAAATTTGGTCTTTTCACATAGTCCCACATTTCTTGTAGACTTTGCTCATTCCTTTTTATCCTTTGTTCTCTAATCTTGTCTTCTTGTTTTATTTCATTAAGTTGGACTTTGACCTCTGATATCTCTTCTTCTGCTTGAACAATTCGAGTGTTTAAACCTGTGCATACTTCTCGGAGTTCCTGTATTGTATTCTTCAGTTCCATTAATTCACTCATACTCCTCTCTAAGTTGTCTATTCTCAATAGGATTTCATCAAACCTTTTTTCAAAAGTTCCTAGTTTCTTTACGTTGGGCTACAACATGTTCTTTTAACTCACCGAAGTTTGTTATTATCCATTCCTTGAAGAGTGATTCTGTCATCAGGAGGCGCTCGTTCTCCATCAAGCCTTGTTCCATTGTTGATGTGGAACTGTGATCATCTTTAGAGAGAGAGGCTTTCTGACTTTGAGTATTCTCAGCTTTTTTACGCTGGTTTCTTCCCGTCATTGTAAATTTATCCTCCTGTCGTCTTTGAAATTACCAACTTTCAGATTAGGTCTCTTGAGTGGACGTCCAGGTTGTTAGTTCCCAGGGCCAGAGCAGCGGCATTAAGACTGATGGTGCTTTTCTGCCCAGGATTCTCCTGTCAGGCTTCCTTCTTGTTTCCATAGTAGGTGACTCTGCCTTCCTGGGGCTCCAAACCTCAGTTAGAAGGGGAACCGGTCCCGTTTACTCTGCGCTGAGCGCTGCCGCGTCGAGGTGCCGGCGGAACCGCTGCGCCGACCGTGAGAGTCGCGCTGGTGACTCGTGTGTTTCCACCACTGGGGGATCTTCTGCTCCGTGAGCGACCAGACTTTGTCTGAAAGTGTGGCGTCCTCTAGTTTTCCGCGCCTTCCCTGAGAGCTGCAATCCCGGGATGTTAGCGATCGGTCATCTTGGATCGTTCCCCTCTATATCACTTTTAATTTAGCATTTAATCGTGTACTGTAACATTTCTCTATATAATATTTCATGTATGTTACTCATATTTATAAAGATTACACATATCTCAGAGATGAAGACAATAAATATTAAATGTATTCATTCTCCTATCTTCCGAAGCACTTATGTCAGAGGAACTAAATTATTCATTCTAATTTGACAACTCATGATCTTGTAACATACTATAATGCTTAGAAGAGCTCAGTAAAACTAAGCTCTAGTTACCCGAAATTGTTTGTTTATAATACTTCATTAGGAAATAAATTCCAATTCAAATTTTAGTAATTATGCCCCTTGTTCTTCCATGTCTTTCCAACATAGGATTAGAAATACTTTCTTTATAAGACTAGATTCAGGGAATTAGTACCCCATGTTGAAATTTGGCTCTCAGGAAATTTGGCTTCCAGAGAGGAAGTCTCCTAGTTGGGATGAATAAACCTTACTTAGATTACTGTACATTGTTACTCCCCTGAAAGTAAGGGAGAATCTATTCTCAAACTGCATCCTTGGGGTTCATGATCTATTTCTCTTCACTTTTCCTATTATTTCCCTTCTTATGGTCAGGAGGGTTTTTTTGTTTCTTTTGTTTTTAATTAAGATCTGAAGTGCATGTGCAGATCTTGCAGGATTGTTGCATAGGTACACATATGCCATGGTGGCTTGCTGCCTCCATCCCTCCATCACCTATGTAAGACATTTCTCCCAATGTTCTTGTGCTGTGTTTTTCAGCCCCATCAAGCCATTTATGTTCTTCTCTAAGCTGGTTATTCTTGTTAGCATTTCATCTAACCTTTTTTCAAGGTTTTTAGTTTCCTTGCATTAGCTTAGAACATGTTTTTTTAGCTCAAATAAGTTTGTTATTATCTATCTTCTGAAGCCTGCATCTGTCAATTCATCAAATTCATTCTCCATCAAGCCTTGTTCCCTTGCTGGTGAGGAGTTGTGATCCCTTGGAGGAGGAGAGGAGTTCTGGTCTTTGGTGATTTCATCCTTTTTGTGCTGGTTTCTTCCAGCCTTCTTGGATTTTTCTACCTTTGGTCTTTGAAGTTGGTGACTTTTGGATGGGATCTCTGAGTGGACATTCTTTCTATTGATGTTGAAGCTATATTTTTTCTCTCTCTTTCTTTTTTTTTTTTTTAGTTTTCCTTCTAACAGGCCTCTCTGCTGCAGAACTGCTGGAGGTCCACTGGTGACTGTTTGCCTGGGAATCACCCATGGGGACTGCAGAATAGCAAGGATTGATTCCTGTTCTTTCCTTTGGTAGCTTCATCCTGGAATAGTACCCACCAGATATCAGCCAGAGCTCTCCTCTATGAGGTTTCTTTTTGGATATATTGGGGTCAGTAAGCCACTTGAGGAGTCAGTCTGTTTCTTATCTGAGCTCAAGTGTTGTGCTGGGAGCTTCGTTGCTCCCTTTAGAGCTGCTGGGCAGGGACATCTAAGTCTGCTGCAGCAGAACTCACAACCACCCCTTTCCCAGGTGCTCTGTCCCAGGAAGGTGGAATTTTATTTGTAAGTCCCTGATGTGCTGCTGCCTTTTTGTCAGAGGTGTCCTGCTCAACAAGGAGGGAGTCTAGTCACATTCTGCCTGTAGAGACTCTGCTGAGCTGCTGTGGGCTCAGTCCAGATGCTGTGTAAACTTAGCTTTTATTTACACAGGTAAGGTTAGAACTGCCTCAGCATCAGTGGATGCCCTTCCCCGCACCAAGCTCCATCCTCCCAGGTGGAGATCAAACTGCTGTGCTGACTGCAAAACTCACATGTCAGAAAACTTCAGTTTGCTGGTCTTTGTTGTGGGGGGACCTGCCACACCAGGTCACTTGGCTACCTGCCTTCAGCTCTCCTTTTTTTCTGGGGAGTAGGAGGCTCTGTCTTGCAGGCATTCCAGGTGCCAGCCAAAATAGCCACTGAGATTTGTGCTGAAAACCCATGGCACTGGCTGAAATGGCCTCTCAGATTTGTGCTGGTAACCCACAGCGCTTGTTGGCCCAGCTAAAATCTCCTGGTGCGGGATGTAAAGACCATGGGAGAAGTGCAGTATCTCAACTGAAGTGCAGGAGTGGCTGGATAAGTCCCCCAATGGCCTCTGTTGGGTAGGAGAGGGGTCCTCCAGCCAGGTGTACTTCCTAGGTGAGGCAGTGCCCCACCCTGCCTCAGTTTGCCCTCCTTGGGCTACACCTACTGTGCAAGCAGTTGCATTGAGGTGAACCTGGTACCTCTGTTGGAAATGCTGAGATCACTTGCCTTCTGCTTTGCTCTCAATGGGAACTCTGCTATAGAGCAGTGCCTATTCCGCCATCTTGGTGGAGGTATGGAAGCTTCCTTCAGGGCTAGTAAATGTAGATTAAATGAATGAATGGTAGATAAGCACAAGAATTTGGGAAAGAAGACGGAAGGAAAAAGGAAGAAGAGACAGAGGAAAATGGAGGAGACTGGTGTGAGGGGGGAGGGGAAGAGAGAGAACTAATGGCTGTAATAATTTTATTTAAAAAACATTATCTAGAATAATTTGTATCACCCAGTAGAACTGTGTTATTTAAGGGGAACACTCAACCCATCAGCAATGAAAAGCAGCTAGGACACTCAAATTGATATTCCATATCATAAACTAAGTCAAATATATTTTATTTATATTTGATTGATAAGAGAAGTAGCTTCTCTGTTTGGATTTTGGAGAGATAATCAAAACAAATGCCAGTGTTTACTATCCATTCAAGCCATGTGCTCATATGTTTTAATTTTTGTGGGAAAAGGGGAAAATGACCCTGGATAGTGACATTCCTGATGACTGTGACAACACTCTCTCAAAGTCCTCACAGCACAATAATATTGTTTTAAAGACCCATTTATCAAATACTTTCACCTGAAATTAAGAAAATACTTAAAAAGAACTAAACCAACTGGTGGTTTTATCCTCATCATTTTTTTTCCCTTCGTTCCTTCCTTTCTTCGAAACCCTACCAAATGGCATATATACAAAGGAACCATATCTAAGCATGGGAAAGACAGAAATTCCTCTCCCAAGTATACCCCAAAATAATGAGGCCAGTAATTCAGTAAATAAAGCAAAAATAACATTTTCATGGAGAAAAGTTGCCTGTGAATGCAGCACCACAGTTTTCAAATCTAAGCTGTCCTCTGAGCCTTTTTTTTTTTTTTTTGAGATGGAGTTTTGCTCTGTTGCCCAGGCTAGAGTGCAATGGCACAATCTTGGCTCACCACAACCTCTGTCTCCCAGGTTCAAGCAATTCTCCTGCCCCAGTCTTCCAGGTAGCTGGGATTACAGGCGTGCACCACCACCCCTGTCTCATTTTTGTATTTTTAGTAGTGATGGGGTTTCTCCATGTTGGTCAGATTGGTCTTGAACTCCTGACCTCAGGTGATTGGTCTGTTTCAGCCTCCCAAAGTGCTGGGAGTATAGGTGTGAGCCACCATGTCCGGCCACCCCCAAGCCTTAATAGTGGCCAAGAGTCCTGAATTCCCAGAGAGCTTCCAGAGGTGGAGTCACCAGGCACATTCTCTTTGTTCCGTGCTCCATGCCTGTAGCTGGTGTGGTCACCAAAGAAAGTCATGCCTTGAGCTGGCTTTGAACTGTGTGAGCTTAGCCCTGTTTCAGCTGAGACAGGCACTGAGAGGCATAACTGTGGTTCTCCATTTAGTCCATATCAATCACTGAATTGTCATGTCTCTCTCTGGTTTTGCCTTAAGCACCTTTTAGAACAGATAAGAAGCAGTGTTTAGAATGTCAGCACAACTAAGGGGTGTAGTGTAGGTGGTCAAATCTCTGGGGGGCATATGACTAAGCTTTCATTTCTGAACAATTGTGATAACAGTTTCAGAAAGTGCCATTTCTGGACCTTTAACTTTTGACTCAAATATTTTGGCAAGAATTTACGTGCATCTTTATAGCCAATGATCCTCATTTACAAGAATGATGATCACTATTGTCACCATTATTCAGAAGAGTCTCAGTCAGGCAGGTTAATCAATGTACCCAGGATGAATAGGGCACACCAATGGCAGGGCTCTAGTATGAAATTGAGCTGTCTGCTGAAAATGCCCATGTTTTTAACTGCTATGCAAAGTAATGTATTAAAGAGAAGCCATTTCAAAATCAGGAATATATACATTTATGGTCCATAAAACTTAGAAGTGTTTACCTGTGGTTTCTTGAGTTTTTCTGTGGGGTAGAATCAAGGACACTGGCTCTGAGGATGGCCTTCAGCCCACTGTCAGTCCTATCTGTAGCCATTCCTCCACCCTCTGCCACAACCACCCTCAATTGTTTATGTTCCAGCACACTTTGTGCCTTTGTTTAAGCTGCACCATCTACCTTCAATGTCCTCCTCCTGTTTCACCAGCCAAAATCCTGCTCATTCCTTACAGTCTGGCTCAGTTGTCACCTTCACCCAGAAACTGGGAACTAGAAGAAAATTAAAGGATGGTTGGTTGAGTTGTGAACCTAGCATGTGTTTTGGTTCATTTGACACTATTGTGAATGAAGTCATACTGCCAAGTAAAGGCAGACAGTTCTAATTTTCTGTATCCACTGTGATTCTCGAAGAACAGAAGAGAATTTCTCTCTACACCAGGGAAAGGAGGGCTGCAAAAGTTGCCATTCCAACTGTGAAATCTGTAATTTCTTTATACGTGAGATAAAATGTAAGCATGAGGCAAATGCAAAACATTTCATTATGCAGTCAGACTAGGATAATGGCCAACAAAAAACAAAGCTTTTTGGTTCTGGTTGTAGAATGTGGAGGACTAAAGGTGGCCACAAACACTTTGACACTCAAGTCCCCCAAGACCTAAGGGTCTTATCTCCTCCCCTTGAGTATGCGTGGCTCTGATTGTTTTATCCAAAAGTGAAAGCGATGTTGTGTCAGTTTCAGATCTCGGTCTTAAGAGACTGACAGCTGCTACTTCCTGTCCCTTGGAACTCTTGCTACTGGAGAAGGCAGACTCCATTTAAAAGTCTGTCTATCCTGGCCGGGCATGGTGGCTCATGCCTGTAATCCCAGCACTTTGGGAGGCTGACGAGGGCTGATCACTTAAGGTCAGGTGTCTGAGACCCAACTCACCAACATGGTGAAACCACAGCTCTACTGAAAATACGAAAATTAGCTGGACATGGTGGTAGGTACCTGTAGCCCTAGCTGTCAAGAGGCTGCAACAGGAGAAATGCTTGAACCTGGGAGGTGGAGGTTACATTGAGCTGAGATCATGCCACTGCACTCCAGGCTGGGTGACAGAGCAAGACTCCATCTCAAAAAAAAAAAAGTCTGCCTATCCTGAGACTGCCCTGCTATGAGGAAGCCCAAGCAGCCATGTGGAAAGTGCCCGACCAGCCCCAGCTTTCAAGCCATCCAAACTTGGTCACCAAATATGAGAGAGAAGAAGTCTTCAGGTGATTCTGGACCCTACTAACATAAGACTGATACTGCATGATACATCCCAAGTAAGCACTTCCCCATAAATCCAGAAAATCAAAATGCTATCGTAAGTCACTAAGTTTCAGGCTTGTTTGTTCCACAGCCAGATAACTGGAACAGAGAGCAAGCCTGACGAATGGTCACACAGACTCAGCCCATACCTTCCCTGGTTCTAATGTTCTTAGGGAGCCCAGGCCAACCCTGGAACCCTCAGGAACTTCGGTTTCCACTGGACAGTTCAAGAAGGGCTATAGCCCAAATCAGTTAACTCACCAGACCAGCCCTCTAATCCATCAAATCTAATGCTGAGCTACCCAATGCAGTCCAACCCTCATCACAATTCTATGACTGAAGACCAGGCACTGTGGCTCACACCTGTAATCTCAGGACTTTGGAAGGCCAAGGTGGGTGGATCATGAGGTCAAGAGTTCAAGACCGGCCTGGCCAACATGGTGAAACCCCGTCTCTATGAAGAATACAAAAATTAGCTGGGCATGGTGGTGGGTGCCTGTGATCCCAGCTACTCAGGAGGCTGAGGCAGGAGAATCACTTGAACCTGGGAGGTTGAGGTTGCAGTGAACTGAGATCATGCCACTGCACTCTAGCCTGGATGACAGAGCAAGGCTCTGTCTCAAAAAAAACAACAACAACAGAACAAAACAATGCTATGACTGAAAGTGACTAAAAAGCTGCCTTGATACCATTAACACCCTGTACTTTGCAGCCATTCAGAATTGACGCAGTCTGGATGCTAGCTACTTCAAAAACAACCCACAACCACACCTTTCCCATCTCCATCATCGACTGCTAAGAATAGGAAAATGCACAGTGACAGGTTTTAGGATCCTGCTTTAGGATTTCCTTTTCCTGGTTTCGTCACCAGAGTTGGGTATTTAACTCTTTCTAAACAACAACCATTTAATCGAACAGTTTGGAGACCACTATTAAATATTGTGACTGATAAAGGATCTGTGAATTTTTTATACATTCTAAGAGTTACCATTTTGATACCTTTAAAAAACCAACAGCCTTCTGGGCTATTCGCATAGAACAGCATGAATAAAAACATTTTTGATACAGGGTTTTATCTGGCTTTAAACTCAGGAACCAAGTTAATTATGCCAGATAGAACTCTGATTTTTCACTACCTTTTCAAAGATATTTTTTAAAGTGCATTATTATATATGATTTCTTTGGAGTTGACACTTCTTTACTCCAGGAATTCTATGTCACTTTTACAGGTTTCCATTCTGATGGCCTCTGGGCCTTTGTACCTTTGTGTTTGGTGCCTTATTCCTAGTACATTTCTGTCACCTTAATGAGGCCGCAGATGGAGTCAAAATGTGAAATGACAAATCATCACTGGATCCATCTGCTTTTCCTCACCTTCCCCACTGATGCTCTGGGCGAGAGAGTGACATGTCACTTCAACTGTGTAACATGTCACACACGTCCCACAATAACAGGCATCATCGTTGTATTCTTAGTTTTAGTTTACTGTAGAAAATAATGTCATCTCCACAGGCGATGGGAGTCACATTTTGTAGGATGTGTTTTCTTATAGTTAAAGGCTGTCTTCTGCTATGGTAACTGCCAGGATTCATAGCTTCGTCTCTGTGTCAGAAAAGAAGGGATCTGCTTTCTCTTGGCTGATTTCACATAATATCGGTAATGAACTTTCATTCCTCATTCGAATGGGGAATTACTTTTTAAACCCTTCCTGATTTTAGCCTGGTGATGTAAGTGTCCTTAATGTGACTGTTTTGATAATTTAAAAAAGGATGTAAAATTTTTAAAAAAATGTAAGCATGAGGGTAGGTGCCATGTTCTTACATATAAATAGAAAAACTACTAAGAATGTTAAATAAATAAGTCTTTGGTCCCTCATGAAATTGTTGACACTCTGCTCCTCTTTCTGCAGTTTGAGTTTATTAGAATTACCTGACCAACGGCATATTGGGTTTTTATGCCTGCTGTGAGGAAAAGGAATAAGCTATACATGTATCTGTGGGTTATGTATTGTTGGTAATCACCTTAGGCAGCTTCAGTGCAGCAATAATCCCTCCAAATCCCAGTGACTTAACCAAAACCATATACTTGTCACTTGACTTTATGCATTAGCAGTAGCTCCTAATTTAGGCAGCTCTGCCTGATCAGTCTCACTGAAAGTTGAGAAGTGCTCATTCCAGACACTGGGCTGAAGAAGCAGTCCTTATGTGAGATATATGGCCCTTGCAATAGAGGAAAAAGAGTAAGATAGCTAAAGAAAACAATCAATGAAGGGAAACCCATCAGACTCACAGCAGATCTCTCGGCAGAAACACTACAAGCCAGAAGAGACTGGGGGGCCAATATTCAACATCCTTAAAGAAAAGAACTTTCAACCCAGAATTTCATATCCAGCCAACCGGAGCTTCATAACTGAAGGAAAAATAAAATCCTTTGTGAACAAGCAAGTACTCAGAGATTTTGTGACCACCAGGCCTGCTTTACAAGAGCTCCTGAAAGAGGCACTACACATAGAAAGGAACAACCAGTACCAGCCATTCCAAAATCACACTAATGCTAAAGAGCATCAACATAATGAAGAATCTACAACAACTAACGGGCAAAACAGCCAGCTAGCATCAAAATGGCAGTATCAAATTCACACATAACAATATTAACCCTAAATGTAAATGGACTAAATGCACCAATCAAAAGACACAGACTGGCAAATTGGATAAAAATCCAAAACCCATCAGTGTGCTGTATCCAGGAAACCCATCTCACATGCAAGGATACACAAAGGCTCAAAATAAAGGGATGGAGGAAGATTTACCAAGCAAATGGAGAGCAAAAAAAAGCAGGAGTTGCAATTCTCATCTCTGATAAAATAAACTTTAAAGCAACAAAGATCAAAAGAGACAAAGAAGGCCAGCACATAATGGTAAAAGGATCGATACAACAAGAAGAGCTAACGATCCTAAACATATATGGACCAATACAGGAGCACCCAGATACATAAGGCAAGTTCTTAATGACTTACAAAGAGACTTAGACTCCCACACAATAATAGTGGGAGACTTTAACACTCCACTGTCAATATTAGACAGATCAACCAGACAGAAAATCAACAGGGCTTGAACTCAGACCTGGAGCAAGCAAAGCTGGTAGACATTTACAGAACTCTCCACCCCAAATCCACAGAATATACATTTTTCTCAGCACCACATCACACCTACTCTAAAATTGACCACATAATTGGAAGTAAAGCACTCCTCAACAAATGCAAAACAACTGAAATCATAACAAACAGTCTCTCAGACCATAGTGCAATCAAGTTAGAACTCAGCATTCAGAAACCAACCCAGAACCGCACAGCTTTATGGAAACTGAACAACTGGCTCTTGAATGTTGACTGGATAAACAATGAAATGAAGGCAGAAATAAAGAAGTTCTTTGAAACCAATGAGAACGAAGACACAACATGCCAGAATCTCTGGGACACATTTAAAGCAGTCTCTAGAGGAAAATATATAGCAATAAGTGCCCATATGAGGAGAATGGAGAGATCCAAAATTGACACCCTATCGTCAAAAGTGAAAGAGCTAGAGGAGCAAGATCAAAAAAACTCAAAACCCAGCAGAAGACAAGAAATAACTAAGATCAGAGCTGAACTGAAGGAGATAGAGACACGAAAAACCCTTCAAAAAATCAATAAATCCAAGAGCTGGTTTTTTGAAAAGATCAACAAAATAGACAGACCACTAGCCAGATTGATTAAAAAGAAAAGAGAGAACAACCAAATAGATGCAATAAAAAATGATAAAGGGGAAATCACCACAGACTCCACAGAAATTCAAACCATCATCAGAGAACATTACAAACAACTCTATGCACATAAACTAGTAAACCTGGAAGAAATGGATAAATTCCTGGACTCCTGTGTCCTCCCAATCCTAAACCAGGAGAAAGCCGAAACTATGAATAGACCAATAACAAGGGCAGAAGTCGAGGCAGCAATTAAGAGCCTACCACACAAAAAAAGCCCAGGTCCAGATGGGTTCACTGCCGAATTCTACCAGACACACAAAGAGGAGCTGGTACCATTCCTTCTGAAACTATTCCAAATAATCCAAAAAGAGGGAATCCTTCCCAAATCATTTTATGAGACCAATATCATCCTGATACCAAAACCCGGCAGAGACCCAACAAGAAAAGAAAACTTCAGGCCAATATCCATGATGAACATAGATGTAAAAATCTTCAATAAAATATTGGCAAGCCGATTGCAACAGCAAATCAAAAAACTTATTCATCATGATCAAGTAGGATTCATCCAGGGGATGCAAGGCTGGTTCAACATACACAAGTCTATAAACAAAATTCACCACATAAACAGAACCAAAAACAAAAACCACATGATTATCTCAATTGACGCAGAGAAGGCATTTGACAAAATTCAACAGCCCTTTATGCTAAAAACCCTCAATAAACTCGGTATCGATGGAACGTATCTCAAAGTAATAAAAGCTATTTACAACAAACCAACAGCCAATATCATACTGAATGGGCAAAAACTGGAAGCATTCTCTTTGAAATCTGGCACTAGACAAGGATGCCCTCTCTCACCACTCCTATTCAATATAGTACTGGAAGTTCTAGCCAGAGCAATCAGGCAAGAAAAGGAAATAAAGGGTATTCAAATAGGAAAGGTGGAAGCCACATTGTCTCTATTTGCAGATGACATGATAGTATACCTAGAAGACCCCATTGCCTCAGCCCAAAAACTCCTGAAACTGATAAGCAACTTCAGCAAAGTCTCAGGATATAAAATCAATGTGCAAAAATCACAAGCATTCCTATACACCAATAACAGACTTAAAGAAAGCCAAATCAAGAACGAACTGCCATTCACAATTGCTACAAAAGGAATAAAATACCTAGGAATACAACTCACAAGGAATGTAAGGGACCTCTTCAAGGAAAACTACAAACCACTGCTCAACAAAATAAGAGAGGACACAAACAGATGGAGAAACATTCCATGTTCATGGTTAGGAAGAATTAATATTGTGAAAATGGCTATACTGCCCAAAGTAATTTACAGAATCAATGCTATCCCCATCAAGCTACCATTGACTTTCTTCACAGAACTGGAAAAAACCACCATGAACTTCATATGGAACCAAAAGAGAGCCCGCATAGCCAAGTCAATTCTAAGCAAAAAGAACACAGCAGGGGGCATCACACTACCAGATTTCAAACTATACTACAAGGCTACAGTAATCAAAACAGCATGGTACTGGTACCAAAACAGAGACATAGACCAATGGAACAAAACAGAGGCATCGAAGGCAACACAACATATCTAAAACCATACAATCTTTGATAAACCTGACAAAAACAAGCAATGGGGAAAGGATTCCCTGTTTAACAAATGGTGTTGGGAAAACTGGCTAACCATGTGCAGAAAGCAGAAACTGGACCCCTTCCTGACACCTTATACTAAAATTAACTCCAGATGGATTAAAGACTTAAACATAAGACCTGGCACCATGAAAACCCTAGAAGGAAATCTAGGCAAAACCATCCAGGACATAGGAGTAGGCAAGGACTTCATGAACAAAACACCAAAAGCATTGGCAACAAAAGCCAAAATAGACAAATGAGACCTAATGAAACTCCACAACTTCTGCATGGCAAAAGAAACAGTCACTAGAGTGAATCGGCAACCAACAGAATGGGAAAAAATTTTTGCAGTTTACCCATCTGACAAAGGGCTGATATCCAGAATTTACAAAGAACTCAAACAGATATACAGGAAAAAAACAAACAAGTCCATTCAAAGTGGGCAAAGGATATGAACAGACACTTTACGAAAGAAGACATATATGAGGCCAACAATCATATGAAAAAATGCTCATCATCACTGGTCATCAGAGAGATGCAAATCAAAACCACATTGAGATACCATCTCACGCCAGTTAGAATGGCGATCATTAAAAAAATCTGGAGACAACAGATGCTGGAGAGGATGTGGAGAAAAAGGAACACTTTTACACTGTTGGTGGGAGTGTAAATTAGTTCAACCATTGTGGAAGACAGTGTGGCGATTCCTCAAGGCCTTAGAAATAGAAATTCCATTTGACCCAGCAATCCCATTACTGGGTATATATCCAAAGGACTATAAATCGTTCTACTATAAGGACACATGCACACGAATGTTCATTGCAGCACTGTTTACAATAGCAAATACCTGGAATCAACCCAAATGCCCATTGATGATAGACTGGATTGGGAAAATGTGGCACATATACACCATGGAATATTATGCAGCAATCAGAAATGATGAGTTTGTGTCGTTTGTAGGGACATGGATGAATCTGGAGAGCATCATTCTCAGCAAACTGTCACAAGAACAGAAAATGAAATACCGCATATTCTCATGCATAAGCGGGTGATGAAAAATGAGAACACATGGACACAGGGAGGGGAGTACTAAACACTGGGGTCTATTGTGGGGAAAAGGGGAGGACCAGCGGGAGGGGGAGCTGGGGAAGGATAGCCTGGGGATAAATGCCAAATGTAGGTGAAGGGGAGAAAGGAAGCAAAACACACTGCCATGTGTGTACGTATGCAACTGTCTTGCATGTTCTGCACATGTACTCCAAAACCTAAAATGCAATAAAAAATTAAAAAAAAAAAAGAAAACAATCAATGGCTCTTAAAACTTCTGCTTGGAAGTGGAGTGTGCACACATGCTCACTTTGCACTGACCAAATTAAGTCACATGGCTGAGTCTGATGGCAATGGGGCATGAATATTTATCACTTTCATTGGAGGCACTGCCAGTCAAATTGCAGAAGTTGAGGACATACAATCATAAAACAAGGGCAAGTGGCCAGGCACAGTGGCTCATGCCTGTAATCCCAGCACTTTGGGAGGCCAGAGTGGGTGGATCGCTTGAGCCCAGGAGTTTGAGACCAGCCTAGGCAATATGGAGAAATGCTGTGTCTACAAAAAATACAAAAAAATAAAAATTAGCTGGATGTGGTGTCACATGCTTATAGTCCCAGCAACTCAGGAGGCTGAGGTTGGGGGATCGCTTCAGCTCAGGAGATCAAGGCTGCTGTGAGCCAAGATCATGCCACTGCATTCCAGCCTGGGTAACATAGCGAGATCTTGTTTCCAAAAAAAAAAAAACAAAAAGTCAGAGAGTTGTTGTTATGGTCATACAACTGATCATGATTAACTTAGATATTACTTATAATGGGTATGACATCTATTACTGATTATCATAGCCTGAATTATGTTTCTCCCCCAAAAATTGTGTTTGCTATCCTAACCCTCAGTGCCTAAGAATATGACTATGTTTGAAGATTGGGTTTTTAAAAAAATAACTAAAGTTAAATGAGTTTGTTGAGTGGGCTTTAATCCAATATAACTGGTGCTCTGATAAGTAGAGCAGATTAGGACACAGACAGGTACAGAGGAAAGACCATGTGCAGGTGCAAGGATAAGATGGCCAAGAATAAAGACAAAACAAAACCAACCCTGCCGACAGGGTTGATCTTGGACATCTGGCCTCCGGAATTGTGAGAAAATAGATGTCTGTTGCTGAACCCACCCAGACTGTGGTACTTTGTAATGGCAGCCCTAGCAGAGACTGAGTAATAAATTAGCAGATTTGATGACATTGATATTTCCATTATTTATTATTTTATTCAACTAATACCTCTGATATCTATTATTATATTAAACACTTTGCATTAAGTATAGCATGAAACATTCTACATACATTATCTATTTTATTCTCTTAAGACAATTCTGTGATGTAGGTACTACTTTTTTCCACATTTTGTATATGAGAAAATGTCATCGATGGCTTGAAGGGTTTGAGAAACTTGCCTAAGTTGACCTGCAGGTGGGGAGCTGCAGTCTGATACTCAGTCATCTGATTCCAGAACCAGCTTTCTGCCACCGTCATCAAAGGGCACTAGGATATTTTGTAGTGTTTCTTAAAATCAAGAAAGTTAAGAGAATATAAGCATGAGAGATCCATGATGCCTGTCTTGAGGAGTTCACAATCCAGTTGACAAAACACGAGAAGAAATACATATAATCCTAGAGAAGAGAAGGTAAATGTCATGTAAAATGCTCTGTCCATAACTGTTATTTTTTTATTACAGTTTAGGTTTTGGGGTACATGTGCAGAACATGCAAGATAGTTGCATAGGTACACACATGGCAGTGTGTTTTGCTGCCTTCCTTCCCTTCACCCACATTTGGTATTTCTCCCCAGGCTATCCCTCCCCAGCTTCCCCCCACCGCTGTCCCTCCCCTATTCCCCCCAATAGACTCCATTTTGTAGTACTCCCTTCCCTGTGTCCATGTGTTCTCATTTTTCCTCACCCGCCTATGAGTGAGAATATGCGGTATTTCATTTTCTGTTCTTGTGTCAGTTTGCTGAGAATGATGTTCTCCAGATTCATCCATGTCCCTACAAAGGACACGAACTCATCATTTTTGATTGCTGCATAATATTCCATGGTGTATATGTGCACATGGCATATGTGCCAGTCCAGTCTATCATCGATGGGCATTTGGGTTATAACTGTTATTTTTAACTTGGATGAGGAAATTGATGGCACAATCATAAATGTTGCTGAGGATGCAGCTGGAAGAGGAAACATTATTCCTCAGATAACAGACTCAGAATTTTTAAAAAATAATGAAGAAAACTACCTTGTCAGGCTGGAATGATTGGACAAACCTAGAGAAATTATGCATGATGAACAAATAAAATCAACTTGTAAGTACAAAAAAAATACTGGATCAGAACAGTAACAACAAAATAATGTAGCCTGTTGTGTGAACAGAGGTCATTTTAGTTTTATATTAGTCAGCTGTGTCACTCACTGTGGACTGAGTCATTCAACACAATATAGGGTGGCTCCTAGGAGCAAGAGGAAGGAAGTCACTGCTCTCAAGGAGCTGACAGTGCAGCAGGGAAAGAGACATGAGGCAATCATGACAAAAAATCTGATGGCACCTGAGGTTGGGAGTTCCAAACAAGCCTGACCAACATGGTGAAACCCTGTCTCTACTAAAAATACAAAAAGTTAGCTGGGCATGGTGGTGCCTGCCTGTAATCCCAGCTACTCAGGAGGATGAGACAGGAGAATCACTTGAACCTGGGAGCCGGAGGATGCAGTGAGCCAAGATTGTGCCATTACACTCCAACATGGGCAGCAAGAGCAAAACTCCATCTCAAAAAAAAAGTTGGGAGGCCGAGGCAGGTAGATCATGAGGTCAAGAGATTGAGACCATCCTGGTCAACATGGTGAAACTCCGTCTCTACTAAAAATAAAAAAATTAGCTGGGCATGGTGGTGCATGCCTGTAGTCCCAGCCCCTCAGGAGGCTGAGGCAGGAGAATTGCTTGAACCCAGGAGGCAGAGGTTGCAGTGAGCTGAGATCGTGCCTTTGCACTCCAGCCTGGGTAACAAGAGTGTAACTCTGTCTCAAAAAAAAAAAAAGGAATCGTTGGATGCTTTTAGATAAGTCTAAATAAAGCACCTCAGTAAATGGGAGAGAAAGCAAGTAACTTTTTATAGGGTTATGAGAAGAGGGTGGGATGGAAAGGAGCTGTTGGGCAGAGAACTAAGTTTATAATTATCTAGGAGGAAGAACCACTAAGTAAACATTCAGTTGTATAATAAAGCTCCCCCCTGTCTGGGACAGCTAACATTAAATTTAAACACTGGCAGAGGCATGGGATGAGGCTAAAATGTTGACTGGGACTGGGTTTTGAAGGGCAGTTTGGCCTTCCTCTTGTATGTAACAACAGAGTAATAAAAATTTCTAGAGAGGAAACATGACCACATTTGATTTTTTGGAAGACAAGCAATGTACAGAAAAGACGAGGGTGGAGAGAACAGTTTCAGGGAGATCAGTTAAGGGGTGGTTGCACTTTTCCAGTATGAAAAATTGCAGCCTGAGGGAAGTAGGTTCTGCTAAAAATGCTGATACTGGGGGCCAACGTGCAATGAGGAAGATGCCACCCAAGCACATAGCTAAAAGAAGGTCACTCCCAGAAGATGCCATCCCCAAAAACAAGAAGGTGAAGGTCTCACACAGGTCCCACAGCACAAAACCAGGCTTGGTGCTAACACTGGGCCAAAGCGATGTGGGCCAGCTGGGGCTGAGTGAGAATATGATGGAGAGGAAGAAGCCGGCCCTGGTATCCATTCCAGAAAATGTTGTGCAGGCTGAGGCTCGGGGCATGCATACCAAGTGTTTAAGCAAAAGTGGCCAGGTCTACTCCTTTGGCTGCAATGATGAGGGTGCCCTGGGAAAAGACATGTCAGTGGAGGGCTCAGAAATGGTCCCTGGGAAAGTGGAGCTGCAAAAGAAGGTGTCAGCAGGAGACAGTCACACAGTAGCCCTCACCCAGGATGGCTGTGTCTTCCTCTGGGGCTCCTTAGAGGATAATAACAGTGTGATTGGACTGTTGGAGCCCATGAAGAAGAGAATGGTGCCCGTACCCATCCAGCTGGATGTGCCTGTGGTGAAAGTGGCCTCAGGAAATGACCACTTGGTGATGCTGACAGCTGATGGTGACCTCTACACCTTGGACTGTGGGAAACAGGGCCAGCTAGGCTGTGTGCCTGAGTTATTTGCCAACTATGGTGGCCGGCAAGGCCTTGAACGACTCCTGGTTCCCAAGTGTGTGATGCTGAAATCCAGGGGAAGCTGGGGCCATGTGAGATTTCAGGATGCCTTCTGTGGTGCCTATTTCACCTTTGCCATCTCTTAAGAGGGCCACATGTACGACTGGCCTCTCCAACTACCATCAGCTTGGAACTCCAGGCACAGAATCTTGTTTCATACCCCAGAACCTAATATCCTTCAAGAATTCCACCAAGTTCTGGGTGGGTTTCTCTGGTGACCAGCACCATACAGTCTGCAGGGATTCAGAAGGAAAAGCCTACAGCATGGGCAGGGCTGAATATGGGCAGTGGGGCCTCGGGAGGATGCTGAGGAGAAGAGCATACCCACCCTCATCTCCAGGCTGCCTGCTGTCTCCTCAGTGGCTTCTGGGGCCTCTGTGGGGTATGCTGTGACCAAGGATGGTCGTGTTTTGCCTGGGGCATGGGCACCAACTACCAGCTGGGCACAGGGCAGGATGAAGATGCCTGGAGCCCTGTGGAGGAGACAGGCAAAAACATGGAGAACTGTGTGGTCTTATCTGTGTCCAGCAGGGGCAAGCATACAGTCTTATTAGTCAAGGATGGGGAACAGAGCTGATGCGCCCTCTGAGGGCCTGGCTTCTGGCCCACGTGAACTCCGTCATCGCAGAACAGGGAAGCAGTGAGAGCTGCAGATCGCAGCAGGCCTCTCCCCAGCCCTGAACACTGTGTCAGTTCCTGCCTTTTCCCAACAGGAGAACAGAATTATTTTCCTCTTCTCCTCTTTGGAATTCTCCTGAGACCTACAGAATGAAGTGGGAAGATGGACAAGAGGTTTTTCAGAAGAAACACGGCTCACTCCAGAGCTACATGGTTGGATGTTTCCCACCCCCACCCCACCTTCCATACTCCTGGTTGGCCCTGCTTTGCCTACTAGAAAACCAAAACCTCCTCCCCTGGGGTTTGCTGCCTACTCTCTGAGCAGCTGGGACTCCATCAAGTCCCATTCTAGTCATGTGCCCCTTTCTCATCCCTAACAATCTACAAGCAAACAAATGGTACAGTCATAAGACTCATCTGTCATGGACTCAGGCCCAGAGGAACGTGCAGAAAAAGCAGAGCTGCGTGGCTGTGGGCAACTCTAAGCCAAATATTTGGCTTGGAACTGGTGTTCATAGGACAAAAAAAAATGACCAAGAAAAAAATGGTTCTCCCAGAAGCACAAAGCATGCTCTTGCCCCTCAGACACTGCTTGTGTACATCCCACCCATCCATTCTGCTTCACTTGCAGCCAAGGGCCTGGAATCGCAGAGAAGCCAGGCTGGGCAGAGCAGAGCAGGGCATGGAGTGGGGAGAGAGGCTAGAGGGTTTTATAAACAAACTTGCAGTAATATTGAAAGAGGAGGGATTGAGGGAAAGACAGAGTGTTCGAGGTGCAGAGACTAGTCCCGAGATGGAAACAGAAACTTGTACAGTGGCTGAGAAAATAGAACATAGTTTTTGATTTTTATAATTGTAAAATGTTTTGTAGGGGAGAATGGAATCTTTTAACACTTTTAATAAATTTAGAGTTTAATTTTAAAAAGTGCTGATACTTATGAAACAGCTGTGGCTCTTTCCACTGTCCTGGCTCAAAGTGAAGTTTTGAACTGGTTTTTGGTTTTTGGTTTTCTGAAACCACCCAAGTTGAGCTGCTTGTTCTTTTGCACTACCCAGTCCCCTCAGGTGTCCACAGTTGTACCCTTTCTTTTAGGGTCCTTAAAAAGTTCTGGGTCATTGAAAAATATTTACAGTAGGGTTGAGATGTGTTGAGTGAAACATGAGGATGTACGTGAGTGACATTTCTACTGGCTGCTCATGGAGTGAGGTGCAAGCAGCGATCAGAGGAAGACCTTCATGGGGGCAGTGAAGGCAATGCTAGCCGTGCTGTCAGGATGTGAACGCACTCCCCTGATCGGTGGTGGACGGCCTTCAGCGTGGCTTGGCTCCATCACCTGCTGACTGCCCTTGGGTTGGCCATAATGGCCACTTTTAGGGCAGAAATGGAGTTCTTTCCAAGCATGATTTCTGCTCTTCTCTGCGTGATCCCTCTGAGCCATGCAGGTCACCCTGACCTCATTCTTGTCAGGTTCTCTATCATCCTATGGACTCCCTGGAAAACTGCAATCTTAATTGTTTATTTGTAGGCTAATTTTACACTTTTATCTTCCAAATCTTTGACTTTGATTTTCAAAAATTCTTATAAACTAACAGCTTTGAAAACTATCATATTTTATGTGGACTTCAAAAAATTGATGCCCTGTTTTTTTGTGTGTTTGAGCTAAATAAATTTTAAACCTCTGTTCTCACATTCCCCTTAAAGATATCTCTAACAGTTTGCATTTTCTTTGTGTTTGCGCTAAATATTGTATGTATATTTGAGACAGAGTCTTGCTCTGTGGTGTATGTGATATATTTATATATCACAACAATCACTTGGGGAGTTTATTAAACATAAGACTTCCTTTCTCCTTTCTCCCCATCTTCTCTTTGGAACCTTGATATAGTAGTTATGGGATGGGATCTGGGAATCTGAATTTTAAACAAACAGATGCTTGGGGAACCATGCTGTCCTTAGAGAAACCTGTTCTAAAGTCATAGTCTTTTTAAATACGAAGTTTGCACAAAAAAATCCATTAGGATGGATTAAAGAAATAGAACTTTAGTTATTTTTTCTAATAAAAGAAATAAATTTCAATTTCCCTTTCTATTTAAGTGATTGTTTAACTGATTGACCTTGCCCACTCTCTGAGTTCTTGTTAGATGGCCAATTCACATGCATGGTCCAGCAGATATTCTCAAAAGAAAGCGTGGGTGCCACCTGGTCCCCTCACCAGTGTGTTTGCTCTTATACACTGCATGGCAATTTCCAACTATGTGGGTTATACCATATAGTTGTCATTAAAGGAATCCTCACAAATGGACAAGTGGCATGATTATATTCCTGAAGAGAAGCCACAGAGTGAAGAGAAAGAACTATTTGATGATGCTTTTCCTATTTATAGTTCAAGGAAAAGATTTCATCAATCACATTATGAGTCAAACCCAAGAATGATCTAATCAGATATGAAAAACATTGGCTCAATAATTTCAAATGATCAAAAATGTTACTGGAAAATAGAGATCCATACACAGTATCAGCAACAGCAAAGCTTATCTTAATTGGCCATTGTACCTGTGAATTAACTAATAAAAGGACGAGATCTTCAGGATGCCGAACACTTAAAATCTAAGCATCCAGATTATTATTAAAATAGTTTTAATTAGAGATATGATTTGTAAATAAATGAAAATTCATATATTGTGGTAATATGTTGACAGCATTTTTTGCTGGCACATGTGCATCATTAAGAATATTAAGCCTCAGGACCAGGCACAGTGGCTCACGCCTGTAATCCCAGCACTTTGGGAGTCCAAGACAGGCAGATCATGAGGTCAAGAGATTGAGACCAGCCTGACAACATGGTGAAACCCTGTCTCTACTAAAAATACAAAAATTAGCCAGGCGTAGTGGCATTCACCCATAATTCCAGCTACTCAGGAGGCTGAGGCAGGAGAACTGCTTTAACCCTGGAGGTTGAGGTTGCAGTCAGCTGAGATTGTGCCACTGCACTCCAGCCTGGGTGACAGAGTGAGGCTCTGTCTCAAAATACATATGTGTGTGTATATATATATATAATATTTTATATGTATTATATATGATAATGTATTTTATACATTTATATATATATTATATATACATTAAGCCTCTTCTTTCAAGCAGGGCTATTTAGAGTGGGTCCATGGGCTGCCAGTGGTCATGAACTATTTGTTACAAGTTCATGATAAATATGGCAATGGGAGTCAGCATTTAAAGAGTTTTACAGCAATTTGGTGGAGTAATTTTGTGCCTATTGAATCTAATCATAAAGAAATTAAACTTCTATTTTGATTGTTTTGGCTTCTTATTTTATTTTTCTACGTATTTCTTTTTGTTTTATTTTGACCTAAATAGCATTACACGATGGATGGGAAACTGCAGAAAAGGATTTCACCACAGATAATGTAAAACACTTTGTTTTAAAGCATAGGAATGATCCTAATTTGTACATAATATCCTAATTTATTTTATAAATTAGCATAGTTTTGAAATCAAAACTTGACAAATATCCCACAATAAGAAACCTACAATTATGTTATGAGTTAAATATTAGCAAATCAATCCAGCCCCAAATTAAACTGCTAATACGCATGACCAAGTTGAGTTTTGTTTTTTTTTCTTTACTTTTAAACTGCAAAGCTGGTTTAATTTTTAATACTGTGTTATTTATGTTATGATATTGGCTTAAATGAGACAATAATATACTGCTAAATAGTCATGAAAAATTATTTCATCAACAAACAGGATGTTAAACAGTAATGAGTACAATTTTCGTAATCATGTATTTACTTAGTAGAAAACTGAAATATTAGAAATGAAAATATTTACAATGGCTGTTTTTGTTTTGACTTATATTTTCTTCTTTTGTTTATTACTATGTTCTAAACTTTCAATGATACTTTTTTAAAAAACAGACAGGATCTTCCTCTATTACCTAGGCTAGAGTACAATGGTGTGATTATAGCTCACTGCAGCCTTGAAGCCCTGGGCTCAAGGGATCCTCCCACCTCAGCCTCCCAAGTAGCTGGGACTACAGGTATGTACCACCACTCCTGGCTAATTTATTAACCTTTTTGTATGGGTCTTGCTACATTGCCCAGGCTGATCTCAAACTGTTAGCCTTAAGCCATCCTCCTGCCTTGACCTCCTAAAGTGCTGGGACTACAAGCGTGAGCCACTGTGCCTGGAGTAGAACATATATAATTTTATATGATAAGTTAAAAAAATATATAGTCATCATTATAGGTATAAAACATTGTGTGTGCCTGGAGTCTAAATTCCTATAAAACAAGTAAGGATTTAATATTACTCACAGGTTTACACATTTTCCACCAGCTTGTTTTGGAAGTAATTTACTCAATGGCTCATTTTAGTTTCATTTTCAGGAATGAGCAATTTGCAATTGACAAAGAAAAGCAATAAAGAATCCCATTAGCATATCTCAAACTACTGTTCATTACTTGTATTTTCATAGCGGAGACAGACTTTTTGTTCTCTGAAAAATATCAAGTCTTTCTTTTCCCCACCCTGTGGCCTTAGTTATTTCCCAGGTAACAGGGTGGTAGGTCCGGTCTTAATCCCTTGAAATTTTTGTCCCCATGATGGGTCTGTCTTCTAGATCAGTTCATTTCTTTGTTTATGTGATTACTCTGAATTTGTGACCCTTCTTTACTGACCACCTGTCAAATTCTTTCTCTGACAGTTCTAGGCATGGCTGATCATCCTTGGGTTTAACTCATAATGGGATTGATGAGATTTTTTTGAACTACAAATAGGAAAAGCGTCATCTTCTGTCTTTGAACACTTAAATCACACAATAGCGTTATTTATTATCAAATCCCTAATACTCTCTAAATGTCTTGCTGAAATAATTTAGTTCAGTAGTCCCTTTACTTTCGTGTGTATTTAGACTAGATTCCTCAAAGAAATCATACTTTCTTTTAGAAGAATACTTTTACCACACCAAAAACCAACTCAAAGTGATTGTGTTGAGTGAAAAGAACAAGGTGAGAAATTGTGAATTATTTAATAGTATTGCATCTTCATTCATTCTCTCAAAAGAATATTTGTTGAATATGTACTGTGTAACAGTTACTGCTCTAGGAGCTGGTGATACTGCAGTTAACATACAAGATGGGATTTTTGCAGACATGTATACATAAATGCATTTGTGTGTATACATATACATAGAATAAAACGTCAGTCTGCAATAAAGCAAACAGTAAGAGGACAGAGGTTGTACTGGTTATTCTTCATCATCTATCTAGATCTATTCCCCACCCTTTGCTGCTTGGCTCTTCCAGATCCCTGTTTTCTGTTGCTCATGAAGAGCTAATGCCTGTTCTTTAGGAGTACATTATTTGGCTCTTAGGCAGCAGGCCTGGAAGACAGATCCCATACCCTATTATGTGATATTTCACCTAAATTCAGAAGTGAGTGAAGACTTTAAACTAGTGGGACTTTTGCAGATTCCTGAACACTTCTGGAGACTCAACAAAAATGTCAGTGGCATGGCATGGTCCATGTTCAGGAGGTGGGTGCCATCTTTTGAACAAAGGAAACAATCAAGGGAAGCTGAGATTTATGTTTAGTACAGAAGGGTTTCTGAGGAGGTACCAAGTAAATTGAAGTCTGAATTGAGAAAGCAAGTCATTCAAATATCTGAGCGAAGAGTGTTCCAGACGGAGGAAACCACACACAAAGGAAAGTTTGAGAAGCAGCAAGAAAGCCAGTGTGACTGATGAAGTGACTGAGGGAGTAGTGATAGGAGCTGAGGGTGGAGAGTTAGCCAGAAGCTGGCTACATAGAGTTTTTTAGGCCATATTTTGGAGATTTAACCAAAAATTATGAGTGAGGTCGGAAGCTATTCAAATCTTTCAACTTTGTGATTTGAAACTG